AACCTACTCGTGATTTTACTAGATTGTCAAGATCTTTTTCACGACGTTCTCTCATCTGCCGCTCAAACTCTTCTCTCAACTAAAAATTGATTTACAGTCAGCACGCTAGTCAGTCTTCAAAATCTCCTTGCTTTTGCAGTTCGATTGATCCATTTTAATGCTTTCCTCACCTCTTGCGGTGTTTTAAGCTTCATTCCCACGTCCCATGAAGTGCGTAGCCCCTCTTCCCCAAACATATCGTATATTGTGCGTTTCGTTTTGTCCACGAGCACTAAAATTTAGGTAGGAATCATAGCGACAAAAAGCGGGAACGAAAAAAAAATATGAACAAGTTACGCGTCTTTTTTCATTATAACTCTCATCCTTTATTCTGTTCTAACCTTCATAAGCTTTCTGAATAACCTGAAACTTTTTCTCGGCTGCTAGCTTATCTGTTTGATCTACATGTTTATCCGGATGGAACGTTCTACATAATCTTTTGTATGCTTCTTTTATTTCATCTTCAGTAGCCTGTGTTAACGGTCGAGGATCGGGAGGAAGTAAAGCAAATGGGATATAAAAGAGATGAGGAAAAAAAATAAAATAATACAGTTAAAAATAAAATAAAATAAAATAAAAAAGATAAAATAGAACACCAAAACCACACGCAAAAAAACCCCCAACTTTTGTTATATTTAAGTATGCGAGTGTTGGAAAAGGTATTTATAGAATAACTTTGTCATAATCAGAAACTACATTACTTTTGAGGATCAGTGTATAATTGGATATAGAATACGAAAAGGGAGGAGGGAGACTTGAGGAATTATTCAGGAACTCAAATTATTGCAGGTAGAAGCCGTGGTTATGTGTGAAGAATTAAGTGCCAAATCTACGAGGAGTATGCATACTTAAAAAAAGCGTATGAGCAAGTAATACACTCGCATGCCTTATCCTATTAATAAATAAATATACATTTTGATATCTTTACCCATGTAATCCATTTATACTTTGCTCAATTTATAAATCATACCTCTTTAGCAACATTTAAAACGGCGTAAAAGTCCACGTCCTGAGGCTTAACTTCCTCATTCCTCTCTTCTTCTTCAGGGTCTTGTAGGTCATCGTTTGGAGGAAAGGTATACCCTTCGTCGTAACCTGACATTTAGGATCGCATCTATGGTGAGACGAGTGAGAAGGAATCTATGAGGAAAGAATGTAAGTATGGTTGATTTGTTCTTGGAAAATTTTATCAGACACATCTATTATATTTCTCACGTGCAGATATACTCGACCAGTTATAACTAGTTCAACCAATAAAGGACACAAGCAGTATGCGGAGAGATTATCTCTACAATTCATCCAATCTAATGAATTTCACGTGAACTACATAGTAAATTCCGACAAACTACGCCACTCAAATATTGAAAAAGAATTTTTCAATGGCGAAAAAGAATAATAAAAAAGCCAATATCGGCAAAGCTTCAGACAACAGCAAGATAAAGGAAAAGGAGAAAGAAATCAGCCAAAATCCAGAACAGGAAGAACAGCAGCAAGAGCAGGCACAGAGCGTTGTAGCTGGAAAGAAACGAAAACGAGAGAATTTTGACAATGACAATGAACAACACGCTCCACCTCAGTCACCTCAGAAAAAAGCGAATACATCAAATTTTATTGATATGTCGTCGGAAGAGTCAAAAATTGGAGAAGGTAAAGCGCAAAGTGTAACGAGGATGCTGTAAGTCAACTCGCTGTCAATCGTACAAGATCCGGATGGCATGCATACTGCGCAGAATGGCTATTTGCCCCTTCCATTTGACGTATCTGATTTATCGGTTTTTCTTCTTCTTTGGACTATCAACAGACGTTGAATTGAATTATTCGTTCGATTCATTGGACGTTTCTGAACAAACAAAGAAAGCAATCGTAGATATGGGCTTTACGCGCATGACAGAAGTTCAGGCTCGTACAATACCTCCACTAATGGCTGGACGCGACGTACTTGGAGCCGCAAAGACCGGGTCAGGCAAGACATTAGCATTTTTAGTACCAGCCGTGGAGATTTTGTTCAAGTTAAAATTTAAGCCAAGGAATGGTGAGTACTGTACAAAGCGTTTGGTTGGAAAGAAATGCACCCTATACTAGCGTAGTAAAGAAAGGTACGGAATCGCTTTATTCTAAAGCATTTTCTGACTTGATTGTTTTTTGGGGGTTTTTTTTTGTAATTCACTGATCAGGAACAGGAATTATAGTGATATCACCCACGCGTGAATTGGCCTTGCAAATTCTCGGTGTAGCCAAAGAACTTTTAAAGTATCATCAACATACATTCGGTATTGTCATGGGCGGTGCAAATAGACAAGCTGAAGCACAAAAGTTACAGAAAGGAGTCAATCTTTTAATTGCTACACCAGGACGATTATTGGATCATTTGCAGGTATGTTTATAGGAAGTAGAAGCAAAGTGATGCGAAAAAGTTAAAAGATTTCAAGTCAAGTAATAAGATTATTATGAAAATTTCTTTAAATAGAACACAAAAGGTTTCGTATACAAGAATGTGAAGGCTCTCGTCGTTGACGAGGCAGACAGAATTCTGGAAATAGGTTTTGAAGACGAAATGAAGCAAATTATAAAAATTATACCAAATGGTAATTCTACAACACGTTGACAGCAATAGTAACGGCAATTTATTAATTCGACTATCGCTGTTTATAACTTTTTTTTTTAAAGAAAACCGCCAGTCTATGCTCTTTTCAGCAACACAAACCACCAAGGTCTCTGACCTTGCACGAATATCTCTTCGGCCTGGACCCATATACATCAACGTTGACAGTGCGAAAGAGACTTCGACAGTTGAAGGTCTTACACAGGGATACGTTGTTTGCGATAGCGACAAACGCTTCCTCCTTCTCTTTACTTTCCTCCGTCGCAACCTATCCAAAAAAATCATTGTCTTTTTTTCTTCATGTAAATCAGTCAAATATCACGCTGAACTCCTCAATTACATTGACACGCCCGTGTTAGAGCTTTATGGTAAACAGAAACAACAAAAGCGAACAAATACATTCTTCGAATTCCATAATGCGGAAAAAGGAATCCTCCTTTGTACAGACGTGGCAGCAAGAGGATTAGATATCCCCGCAGTGGATTGGATTGTGCAATACGATCCACCAGATGACCCACGTGATTATATACATAGAGTTGGAAGAACGGCTAGAGCTGGTGGGAGAGGGAAGAGTTTGTTGTTCTTGCTTTCAAGCGAATTGGGTTTCTTAAGATATTTAAAACAGGCAAAAGTGCCACTGAACGAATACGAGTTTGCTAAAGGAAAAATTGCTAATATCCAGACTCAGGTAAGGATGACAAAATATACATAAAATGAAGCTTTACGTGATGACATATAATGACCCGGGTTATAATCAACATATATATATATATCTCTTTTACCACCATCCTTATCTGTTTCTTGCTAAAAATACCACTCTTTATTCTCCATGCTACGATTTTAACTATTTTTTATCTTATTCCCCCTACACACAGCTGGAAGCTTTGATATCCAAGAATTATTATCTCTATCAATCCGCACGGGATGGCTTTCGTTCCTATTTAACCGCATATGCTTCGTACTCTCTGAAATCAATTTTTAATCTAAACAATCTTGATCTTCAAAAAGTGGGCAAATCTTTTGGATTTTCGGTTCCGCCAAGAGTAGACATTAATATGGGTGTTAGTACGAAGGAACAAAAATCAGGAAGAAGAACGTACAAGAAAAACGAAGACAGTGACAAAAAAGATTATTATTTAAAGCAAAAGGGCAAAAGCGGAAGTAGACAATGGAGTCGTTAGAATCTGTAAATTCTAGCTTGTTTAATAATAAGCGATTTATTGTGACGTTCAATGAACGCGCTTAATAATAAAATGTCATGAACTAAATAAATGCAAACATTCATCGATGAAGAAAAGATGGGGTGATTTTTTTTGTGGATCATAATCGAACTATTTTTACAGAAACTGCTAATTTTAAAGCTGTTTTTCAGCACTGCTAAAATATATCTATCGCGAGGAACTTTTATTCACAACGAGGTGCTCGCTAAAGCCCAGTTTAGGCTGTTTTTATGCTAAAATATATCAATGCTTTGTGAAACACGTTATTTGCTGTCATGTGACCAATTGGCTCAACTTGGCACTTGTCTACAAAGTGGTAACAACCCTTGAAAAAAAATGAACAGAATTCGCCACTTCCGATTCCTTGCCACTTCTGCAACCATCGGAGTCACCTTGCTTGGAACAAGTCGAATATCCCGAGTCTATGCCGAAGAGGTGAAAAAATACGAAAAGGTGAACAATTATAGAACATGGGCTATGCCAGAATTATGTGACCTTTTCCCCCCACGATAATCCACGATAATTAACAATAGCTTATTCTATCGATTATTATTAGCCAAGGATATATGATGACCCTAAACCCGAGATAGTACTTGAAGAAGTCCCAACGCGTTTGGAAGCAGGCGTTAGAAAATTCAGACTTCAAGCTACCCGATCTGTTAAAGACGTGCAGGTAGGAGTAGCGCTCTAATGTCGAGATATGATGGAAAGGGAGTCTCCCACCGACCATGTGGATGTAACTGTAGTTATAAATAGGCCACTCTGCGAACATGGACCAATAATTGGATAGAAATCGAACAAAAAACTGAAAGTAAGTAAACATTGCAATTCAAGATATGTCGTAGTTTGAAATACTGTAAACTCTTTTGTTTTGTTACAGAGACAATAAAAGACGTAATCTCTCCGGAGGAGCGATTGATGCCCGAAGTCTTGTACATTGCTGTGGCAACCTTTGCGGGAATGGTCATTACGAGAAATCGTATGTCTTTTTTTTTATTATTATTATTCCCATCTCTTTGTTGAATCTCGTGCTTATCCAATATTTTCTACGCGTGCCAGGTAACATTCTAATCCGCCTCGCGAGCCCAGTTGCATTTGCTGTCGCGGCATCATACTACTTTATTCCCCGAACAGCACGCAACATTACCAATAGAATGGATGAATATGGACAAGAATCTAGAACGATTACTGCAGTGAGGAGTACTCTTTCCGATGTCGTTAGGAATTCAAAAGAGAGCGTTGAAGTGGCCGTCAAAGATATAAGCGATGCAGTGACGGGATCCAAGAGCCAATCCAAGAAAGGAGTTGCGAATGGCTCAGAGTGAAATAGGAATTATTAAATATAAACTACAGGAATGTTTTTCGATAAATAAACGTTCAAGTTAGATGATCTGTTTATCTATTTGTCTGGTTATTAGTTATCAATTTATCTAGTGTAATTGGACCGTAATCCGATACCTCAGTCATCACGTTACCACTCGCATCCCCGGCATTTTCTAACAGGTGAAATCGAAAATTTAAGCTTGTTGCAGAGCTATTCTTCATCAAAGCGTTGGCATTAACTCTTTGCCAATAGTTGTATGGTAATTGCTTAAATTTTCCGGGGTAAACGCGTTCATTGTGCACAACCTACGTTCACGTGTATCATAACGCAATCTTTTGTTTCGACGAGAATAAAGTTTCAGCATTTTATGTGGTTATTCATACTAAATCTAAATCGTGTTGCATTCAAAAGTAACCTGAACCAGCAGCGATACCATGTAAAATGTTGGATTCTCATATTGTAAAACAGATTAAATTCATGGTCTCAAATTTCGCTAATAAAGCTACTTAATATACCAACCAGTATGGTAGAATATGTGTCACGCTATCTGTCCAACTGTTATGCATACAATGTCGACCCTGAACTTATTAAACATACAAGTTATATGCTAATACTGTGAATGTAAGAACATCTCTCGCATTTAATGGAGTTGCTTTTGGACGCTATTTGCTTTCTAGTCTCTTCAATTATTGTATTTTATGGTTTAATTTGTACGGGGGTTTTCTAGCATTAATTTTAAGAACGCGGACTCAATTAAGTTGGGCATGTTTGTTTCTCTGCCATTTTATTACTATTACTATAGACATCTCTTAGTTTAAGTTAAATTGCTTGCAAAGTTAATTATACATGTTTTTCAGAAAGGCTAGATTGTAATTAGGCTTACATACTTTTATTCCAAAAAGAATAAGATATAATTAATGCTTTTATTAAATGCTTTTATTAAATGCAGTAAATACCAATACTAATACGGTCAGCCTCGAAAAAAATCTATGTTAATAGAAAATTTTTCTTGCACGATTCGCAATAAGCCAATTAATCAAATTGAGCCTATCGGTAATAATTATTAAATTAGAATTGTTCTTTGTTTCCCTTATCTTGTGCATGTGTAGATGGTCACCAATCACATTCGAGGGAGCGAAAATAAAAAACTAAACTGGGCCAGTTACCAATATGTGATCCTAGAGATACTTTTTTTTTTTTTTTTTTTTTTTTTTTTTTTTTTTTTTCATACGAACAATTTACCAATATCGCTATAATCTCTGCTGCTACTTAAACAAGCACTATTACTAACAGTGTGCTGTGCTGAAGAGGTGGCAGTACTGTATATTTTCAGTCTATCTTTTTATGCATATTTTTTGTTCACATTCGCTGATTCGGATCAAGATGGACATGTGTCATCGTTACTACCTAAACCGGACATCAAACCCAAATTTGGAAGGTGGAACAGAAACAGGAACAAGAAATGAAAAGAACTATTTAAAAGTCTTATAAAATCGAAAAGAACTATTTAATTTAAACCCTGTATTCTAGTCAAGTAGATGGCTACGACAATAGGCATATTATGACAAGTATAGTTGATTGTTCAATTGGTGCAGAAACGGCCCTATTGTTAAATTATTAGACGATAAGCAATGAATAGTGGCTGTATGTGAATGTGAAACAACAACTTGCAACCTATTAAAACTATCTACTAAAGAACAGTGACATTTCCCGTCTTTTTCAGGTATTCTGCTGCACGCATGCTGAACACATTGTTAAATGTTATACTTTCTTCGATTCAAATGAAGTAATATTGGTATCATAGATGCATAAGAAGCACTATTGGTGTAACCAATCTATTTTTACTCGACGTTTTACAAAAAATCAATCACTACAATAATGTTCGGGGAGGAAAAACTTTTTGGCAGGAATACTTTGATCGCCCACTTTTAACTGTATGTTCTTTGTACTCTCGCCTATTGATCAACGCTACCGCGACTATATCGTATCCCAAAATTGCTATCAATGATCGCTTTTAGTTATCCCAGACGAGAGCCTTTGATGATATTATAAGAGAAGCTGAGTATTCAATTCTAACCCCTATTACCATGCTTTCATGCAGATCCCTGTATACGAGGATATTATATCAACAGTTGACGCAGGGGCACAAATATTTACGGCTTACTTCATACTGTCAATTTATGTGTAACACTAGCTGTTTATCCCATAGTATACAATGCTTTTGCACTCTATAATGATGGCAAATACCTGACAAAAGAGTTGTGAATATTCACCTGACACAGGCTGTTCTCGTTGGATATTTCACCTGACAAGAGTTCGTAAATCTGTTTGCATAATTTACGTTATTTGGACATTTCACCTGAACGCTGACAAAGCTTTAAACATATGTCGCATAATAATATTATGGAACTCGCTCTATACAGTTTTCAACTCGATATGAGAATAGATTTGTATTAGAAACGTGAGATAGTAAGTAACATCTCCTCCAATATGTATGCTGCGAATAATTCATAAACGTGATATGCTCGAAAATAACACTAGTTATAAAAAGAAGATAAAAAGATCGCATGAATCCAATGACTGCCTGTAATAGTAAACAAATTAGGAATAAATGACAAGATCGTGTAAACTCCAACTTTTGAGCTTGTCTTTGATGGCTAGTTTCATGTCGTCATAATTACGTAGCCTTTGAGATCCATATAATCGAATATTCGCCTTCATCCTCAATTCATTCATCCTTAATCCATCCCATAGTAATACGATTGCTTGCATCCCTTGTGCGGCCTACAACGAACAAACTATTCGTTTGAGCGAAATTGTCAGATATGAGCGCTACACATTCCATTTCGGGCAGATTCTTGACATGCAAATGTATCCAATAATTCCTCTCGAACAGGTAAATTTTGAGAAATTCCCAAGGCTTGGTTGTGTTATATGTACGTTTTGGGGAGGATACATCGGGGATTGGCAGATGATCGTTGAATAAAGGCAAATATGAATGAGACCGAGACCGAGACTGTGATGGAGGCTGTGTAGAATGCAGCGATTGATCCATCCGGGGATATTGCAATGATAATTCGCTTGACTGCGTGCTAAAAGAGATTGCAGTATTGTCAGTATAATTAAGCAATCCACCACGTCGTTAATCCTTTTCAAATCCCAAATTGACTTGCAACCACTAACCCGTTTATAAAGCCGCCGCTGAGCCTTTTCCTTCTAGCCGTACTCGTATTTTCATCCAAATTCCATCGATCTTTATCCCATCCGCCAAAGAGAATTAACCGTCTTGTCATTCCCACCATTGCTGCGCCACAATATCTTCCCACTGCTTCTCCTCTCGTCATAACCCATTCTTGCCGTTTTCCGATATATGTAAAAAAAAAGCCGTTTGCACGTGGTGATACGTGTTTTTCCCAATAAGATATTGCAGAAACAGAAGACTGGTCAATAGTGTTGGATGAATGGGAATGTTGCTCTGAAGTTACGCTCGTTTTCGTGGTCGCGTTGCCGTTTGTGATGCCAGAGTGTAGAATAGACAAAGATGAGGAAGATGAATCCGGTAAGAAATCAGGAATTCGAAAACACCATAAATCCTCATCATCGTGTACGCTATTTTTCAAGCATTCATAGGCAGCGCGTTCAACCTTGCTTACAGATCCACATTGTATGTGATCGTCCCCTGCTCTTATAATTGTGAATAAAAATAAACAACATAAATTAGTATTACTTACGCACATTCTAAATGATTTTTTGATCAATCTGGTTATCACATATAATACGTCCTTCCATCTTCTATTACACACTCTCTCTCTCCATGTTTCTATATTCATTACGATAGATCATACCGTCTAGATTCAGTCGCAAATGTCAATTGTTGTCCGCCGTATATGTATAATGCTGAATCAATAGCAGTACAGGCGTGATACGACCGTGGATATGGCGTCGAGAAAGTTGTTGGGAACATCCATGTAGAATGTGGAATATAGAATAGATAGAAATCTTTCGTGTCGTAATATATTGACCCTAAAATTTGAGAAACAGAAAAAGACGAGAAATAGAGGGTGTTGAGAAGGCTAAATGGAAAAAGTACAGAAATAGTGTTAGAAAGTAATATATAAAAAAAAACATAAATTTTGCATACACCTGCTAGCATACACACAAACACTAGCATACACACACTAGCATACACACCACTAGCATACATACACTACGCAATAATAACAAAATGCAAGCTAAACATGTAGCCCTACTCACCTATCTTGACAAGTTGGTTTGCAAAAAAATTATGTTCAAATGTTGTTTTTCTTCTTTCCGCGCCAGCTTTTGATTTTTTGTGCTACGTTTGACGTGCTTGATAAGTTTTACGATATACACTTACCATTATCGTTAGCCATAACACAATCATCCCCATTATTTTCATATGCTATACGTCGCCCCCCAAAAACTGCCAGCCACTTCTCGGAAACTGCTTGGATAGTGTGCATACACCTCCCTCCCGGAATTACTCCTCCTGCTTCAACAACTTTAATCTCCATTTTTTCAACGTTTATTTCATATAATATGTTGCTGACATTCCCGCTGTAAGTTTCCCCACCAAACAAGTATATCTTCTTGTTTGCAACTGTTGCGGCAGTATTTAAAAGTGGTGTATAGAGCAAGTTGGAGGCTGGATGTATAGAAAGCGGGTACGGAATCCATTGTGAAGGTGAAGCAGAAAGGGATAGAACGTAACAATATGGCAAGTCTGGAGATAAGAATGGAAGATAGAGTTTGTCGTTTAGAAGTACTGTTGTGCGGTAGACTTGTGGTGGAGGAGAGGGAGGTGGTTGTAACGAGGAGTAGTTTGGCGAGTGATAGTGCTGCTGGGTTGTAATTTCTGCGGTTGCTGTCATTGAAACAGTCTCTTCAGACTTGTTTCTTTTATTCGTCCATTGAACTTCTTCCCACTTTGGCGAATAAAAACCCAAATAATAAATTCTAAACACGCGATATATACATGAACATGACAATGCGAATTTCAATTGTTCAGTGCTTGTCAAATAATCAAATATACAATAAATTATCTCAATTGAAAGTTTGAAGAGTGGTGTTGTTGGTGGAGTGGTCATTGTGTTGCGTGCATTTTGAAATGTATTGCTTGTTGTCTCGACCTTTTAGCTTTTTATTCGGTCAAACATATTTGGTTAATGCATTTTGTATTTCAATGCTAATTTGATTCGCCATTTCTCAAGTAGATTATGTAGTAGAGAGCAGATTGCCAGTTATGAAAAAGAGTGGCACGACTGACAAATAATTTTTGTTCAGCCAAAGGTTGGCTTTCAATGTTTCTAGATTAAAAAAAAAAAAGCTACTATATTATAAAAAGTATACATTGTATATTGGTTTCTAAATTGGTACTGTGTTTGTAAATATATGCGAATATTGTGTGCGGAAATTCTTTTATGCTACATATGTTATTTCTTTGCAGCACAAACGTATGAGTTGTCTCATAATAAAATGGTTTATAATTTGTAATAAGAATTTTTTTAAACGCTGTATACACTATTGTGTATTGTCTTTTGATAAGACGCTTTTCTTTCTTCACCAATCCTGGTCAATTGCAATAGTCCAATAGTTCCAGGCTGGTACGCATTCGTCTTGTTCCACCTTACGTACGAGTAGCGCCCCAGAGAGCATCAGCCGTATCGGCCGTTCTCTTGATATATATAATTTTTCTTGAACAATGCTAAGACGGTTTAGGAACAGGGTTGGTTTGATTTAGCCATTCTTTTGATTATATCTAACGTTAAACCAACTAATGTTGGCGTCATTGCTCTATGATGTCACATTATAGTGCCTATGTTGATTGGTGAATAAATCGACATAATATAATTCCGGATTTGGCTTAAACTCTGAAAAATTTTTCGCCCCTTTTTTGACCTTATTATTATACAAATGACTCTCGATAAATCTGACCACGTGATTTGGAGAAACGATCATTACCGTTTTAGTAAAGAAACACAATATATTTGGGATCAGTAATCTTGAGAATGAATGACCTAAACATCAAATTGGAAGAAAGCGAATGCATTATTATATTTAAATAAAAGGAGGGGGGTATTTTTATGAAATTCGATAAGTCGAATCTCTCACAAAATCTCCGCCCCGACGAGAGTCTACTGTGATGGTTAGCATAATATTTTCCTTGTCGAATTGCATAACAAGGATAAAAATAAAGAAATAATGGTCCGACGTTCTATTAGTAAATTTTAGGCTGATCCCACGCATTTGGCAGTGGGCGCAAGTATAAAATACAAGCCCGTTGGGGCAAACACTCATTAGACATAGTAATAGATGTATTATATAAAACATTACTCTGAAATGTTTCTAGAAATTTTCTTGAAACATCGCATCTCTAACAGTTGTTGGACATGAAACGAGAAAAGAGGATATATAATGTGAGTATAGTTATCCAATCGAACTCTTTAAAAAACCAATGCGAAAATTTGATTTTGGGGCGTGGATGCGCGCCGTCTTGTAGAGTTACTACTATTCTATATTCGTCCATTGGCCTAAAAAAATAATCGGCAGTCAATAATACACTAGCGCTGGCAAATGCTGTTGAATCTTCAGTAATCTCCCCTGCACTCGGAAGTAACTGCACACGCTCTAAGGCTTCCCTAATCGCATGTTCCGAGTGTTCATCAAAAGGGTCAAGGTTCGATCTTATAGTTCCTAATAATCATATCAAAGTCAATAAAGTGATAAGAACCAAGAATTATGAGAAAAACTATTTACGAAGAAGTTCCCATTCGTCCCCGTCCTAAATGCATTCATTCCTATAACAAGGAAAACCCCCCACATTCGCTACCAGCAGAGTAGAACAAACTAGTCGATGAAAGATTAGCTCAAGTGCTTACATATTGCAACTAGGCCAAAAAAGCTAAATGTTATAAACGAGGAATAGATTTTACTTATTTTCTGGGGATAACTAAATATAGTTATAATCAGGATCGTATACACGTTTTTTGTGAGATAATACCAAGCGTTTTTTGCAAGTTGGCAATTCTATACTAGCTGATACATTCATTACACGATATGAAACGCTATACGAGTGCTCGAAATAGACCTATAGTCAAAGCGAGTTTGTAATCGTTATCATCGTTTGTTTGTTTTGACCCGTTAGTTAGAGATCAATTCGTTTGCTTTCTGCTTTCGTTTCATTCCAATTTGGATAGTCCCGTTTATTTCGCCAATACCGGCAAATAAGAATTTTTATTGTATCATCGGAAGTCTGTTGTACGTAATGTTGCTCTAATTTATTCATATTAAAACAGTGGGTGTTCAGGATAACAATAGTACATTGTAAATTGACCACTTGGTATAAAAAAATGGGTTCTGAACAAGACATATTGTCTTGATAAATTATAATGTAATTGTGTTTTCGTACGTTATCATGTACTCGCACTATGATCAACTTCTCATTATAACAAGCTTCGATTGCATGCTACATAATCTTACATACAATCAAAATTGATAACGACATTGTCAACTTGTAGAAAACTTTTACTTTTGTCTGGTGTTCCCGCGATTTTTAGTTCTATTTGCATTGGATTATTATTTTTAACAGCAAAAAATGCCCAAACTATTCCGTATTCAATCAGCCTTTTGATATTTCCAACTTTGATGATAACTTCTAAAACGTCACTAACTATTAGTATATTAACACCAAAATCTCTATGATATAATTAGAACACTGCGCTTTTATTCAATTCACATGCGACGATCTCTGAAAACTACGCCAACCCAAACTTTGAGGCATTTCAAGAAAATATATAAAAAACCGCTTGTACTAATCTGGCAGAATCCATGAAATACTACCATTCCAATTTTCCCATTAATGATGTCGTGAAAGTTTAGTGTATAACGTCATTAATTAATTGATTATATTCTCTAACCCCATTGGTTAGGTTCAGCTTCAGCCGGATTTCAGCAGCTGCATCAGCCGCGACAATATTAATACACATGTCCGGAGTTAAAATTAGCCTCACAGCGGGAATTTGATTATTGGATAAGCCCCTCGGTTTACTCGGTTAAATAATTAAGTCCTTACACAAAATTTCGTTAACCATTATCAACTTACTAACCATAAATATATAAAGAAGAAACCTTGATGCCGATCATTCCAATATATAGACATTGGCATATTTACTGGTTGGATGTAAGGATAACAATAAATGTATTATGGCGCGTAATGAAGACTATCCCAAAAAACTGCAGAAAGCAGATAACTTGACGACCATAGAGAGCTCCGTCGTTACAAAAGCTAAATAAAACAATCGTGATGCTATTGCAGAGCGTAACGCCAGCAGTCGGAAATAGTCGTCTAGACGTTTTATTGATATCGCATGTTATGCATGATATACAAGGGTATTAATAAAGGGAGCCCTTTATGAAGAGACTTGCGCCGGTTAGCATTTTAACCACACACCAAAGACTGGATTGGAAATGCGCACGAAAATCAATGCTGACGTTACAATGCGTTGGACACTAGCCTCATGCAATGCACAGCGCCCATTACATTACGCTTGCATAATAATGCACACACTATGAGAATGAATGAATGACTGAGAGTGAGATTGAATCAGTGGTTGGTCGGTCATACAACCAATAGATTGACCATCCAATGTATCACAGTTTTTAATGAGAAAGCCTGTATGGAGTCTTTAAACCAAAAAACCCCGCAAGTAAAGGAATCGACGAGTTCCAAAAGTCATTCGGATGATGAAACAACCCAAACTTTAATACTGAATGTCAAACTAAACGTCCGATTTGTGAAATCATTTAAAATAACCGGTTAGCTCTTCCCAAAAACTTTTATTCTTAACATCATGGCAAAATAATAGTAAAGTGTAGGCATTTTGATTTGCCCATAGAGTGGCTATGATTTTGCGACGTCGGTCAATCAAAACCCTGTCATTGTATTTTTAGTAACAAACAAATTACATAAGTTACAAAGTTATGTGACCGAATTTTCTTGTCGGCATTACATGCGTAAGAATAGAACGCACAAAACGTATTAGTTGACTTCAAAAATCATGCGTATGTGGTGAACGCAAATTCGTGCAAAATGTTGTGCGTATTGGAATGCTGCTTCAAGGTACATTATCGATGAGGTGATTGGTGTAGCATTAACTACTAGGTATGATTGTTATTTTTCGTTTTTAATTTATTAATTTATTAATTAATTTATTTATTTATTTATTTTATTTAACTAATTTTAGGGACAAGATAATTAACCAAAATATAGGTCGAAAAGATTTGTGCACAAAATCCACGTAGTACCGTTTTTATATCACCCATATCGCATACCGTCATAAGCCTGTTATCACTCTGGACGACAAATGCGATTTGTGGCCGCCACATTTCGAAAAAAAAAGGCATAATAATAAGCGGCCTGTTCCTCACAGAATAACGCCGATTACAAGATCACATATATTCGCAAAACTAATGAATGGAAATTTTCATGGGTTTACGAGATGCAAAGACAACTCCGCGAAACCCAAGCGGTAGTTCTATTCCATTGACCCTAGCGTTCATACACCCTTCACATGGTACTCTCCTACTAATGGTGTAGGTAAAATTGGCCAATACGACATTGGACAAATTATTTGTCTGTGCAAGCATATGGATAATCTTCTTTCTATAAAGGACAAGCTGGCTGTCTCTAGTTCAAGTGTCGAAATTGTGGGACTGTAATGGATCGAGATGAAAATGGCGCTCGGGGAATCTTCCTCCGGGCATTGCTTGATGGAGCCTTGATTCTCTCCGGAGAATAATAGTACAGTCAACCCTCTCTATAGTCACCCCCTCTATAAGCACACCATGTTTGAGAACCAATTACTATTGAACTTATCGGAAAAACCCTCTATATAGTCACAACCTCTTTAGAAGCAAATTTTCAACAAAAGTTGCATTGTTTTCGACAGCGTGACTATAGAGAGGGTTGACTGTAATGCCTATTACTATTGATGTGTTACAATCCATCCGACTTTCTACTACGTTGTGGCTATGTAATCACGATAGTAGCTTTTAAGCTTACATCGCGTCCTTGTCTAGCGAATCTGTATCGATTGCGCTTTCAATTATTCCAATTGATTGTTATTATCATTGCAGGAGCAACAGAACCAACCTTCGAACGAGTTACACTATGTCAACAAAACAAAGCGTGGTTTTCCAAAAAATTTCATCATTTGTTCCATAATCTTAACTGGCGCATCCTGCAGCAAGGCGAACATAATGCCATAAACATTTCTGTTAATATCGAAAGCAATAAAGTTATTAACTGGCAGTTTACATAATTCTTGGTATGTATACACATAACATCAAACCGCATTAATGCAACTAATTCCTACACAAGTCGAACCCCGTTAATGGGTAGAATTCATAAATCTCTAACGAATTGATCGCGATGTTTCGACGATAGGCGCGAGAATAAAGAAATGCATCTGTGACACGGCGCAGGAATAGTAATGTCCCACTATGCCATCTTTAGTGAAAGACGATAGTAGGATGCGTATTAATAGGAAATTGTATAGCGCTTGTGCGTGTTGTGGAATGTTCGAGCTGAGGAAAAGATGTTGCGTAATGTATAAGTAGTTGATTCTATTATATCAGGGTCTGAATGCATTGCCCACAATAATAGACGTGCTTCTGTTATTCCTGCCATTGTTATTCGTATTGCTAAAGTCGCTTATGCTTACCTATAGGATCTGAAAGATGAGAATACCCACCACTAGACTATAAACTTGATATATGCTTACTATTATCACAATCGTTGTTATCAGCCTTGCTATACTTTCGACTGCCAATTATTTGTAGGATGTGGAATCTCCATCACTATGCTCATATTCCAATGTTGCCCAGGTTTGAGATTTATATTTATACTTGAACTTCCGTATCGTATTTATGATATACCAGAGTTGCTTGTCAAAATAAAGTGATTCTTTGTTGCTTCAATGTTACTTTGCATACAACGTGGAATAATACAAATGTCGGCTAGTCAGTAGATTTCTTCAGTCAATGGCTTTTTAATAACATTATGATTATCGTTCAAACTTTATTTAATAAAACCTAAGCGTTCAACTCTAGATTCATGTGGGGTATGCTTCGAAGAATAATACAAACATATTATTTTCTTAAAGCCGACTACAAATTTATTATTCTGTTATAATTATGTTAATTTATATTCCACTTGTTCGTACAATAACCACAGCATCTTGAAGATTCGAACTTACACACTCTTTTATATTAGAGTAATTTTATAACCTGATAGATAAATAATACTTCACAAATTAGTATGTGGGTAATTGTATAAAGCTTATGAAGTGAGGTTCCAATCAACAAAGGAGGATTATCGTAGCAAGCTTCTCATAATGCCAATCAATTTGTTGATACCTGTAATGTGTTCGAAACCACCATAGTGATTACACTTATTCATTACCTGGTAAGATTTTCTATTAACGGTCGCCTTTCCCGTATCGGCGATATAAAATCGAAACTTGCTTTCAATTTATTTGGAATCTTTGACACCAGGATTATTATTTAAACGCGTTTAGTGAGCTATATAGGCTTTCGAAACTAATTCCATCGGAAGAAACAGACGTGATCAACTCGAGAATCTAGGATCGGCATCGTGTGAGTGTTATACGTGTTAAAAGGTCGCTAGCTGTATTCATAGATTTAACATTAATAGGAATAGTCGTTCGAAAAATTAAATCTCAAGATTAATATGCGCACGCTCTCCCACGTGTATTGATCCGACACGTAACACTTAGCTTTGTTTACAACAGCGATACGGTACAGTTTCTTAATCAATCCAAAACTACCATCACGTGAATTTAGTAATTCGATACTTGCACAAATCACCAAATACAGATAAAATAATGGTCGTATTGTCCACCTACATTATCACAAGGTTCACCTTTATTCAATCTCTTAATTCCATCGAAAACCATGCTCAGCGTGCCATTAGGACGTTTGCTTATTATTTCGTCGGAATCGAGAACGTAATTAAATTGTTCGCGTCCTGCTCATTTTGGATTCCAAATAAATGTACTTTACGCGGACTGAAAATAATAAATCTTACCTGTGAACGTTTTGTTCAATCGTAACTGTAATGTTAATGCTACAATAAACAGCTTTACCTCTCATTATAGAATGTTCATCTAGTAATTTTCGTTGTTCTGCTAATTTTGTATTTTACGATAATAGTTTCTCTCTAACTTAGCCTTAACCAGATGTTCTTTGTATTTTTTCAACAAATCTAGCATTGTACCCTAAGCCATTCCGAACCCTTGGCACATATCACATAAATCCGTTCTTGGGCTCATTTAATTCGAATATAAGACGCTAATTGGTACCATGACTTATGGAACGTACCATATTTTAACAATTTCAAAGTGTTATCGTTTTCGAGACTTGAATAAAAATCACGATAGATTGATTTGTAACTCGTTTTTGGCTGGTAAAAATGTAAGCAAGCGATTGAGTAATTCATTTGACTTTTCTGCCAGGACTTGGTAATCCATAGTTTACGAGAAATTCTTCACGGCTATATAGCAACGGTTATATCAATGGTCATTTTGGTTTTCCATTGCGGCGCTTTTCATAAACGCGCAGTTCGATTCCTCAACGAGAGAGGCAAAATGTGTTTTTGCCCAAAGTGGGAAGTTGTTGATTGTTGGTGGTTCATCCTGTCGAGTCAACAATCGCGGGGTAGCAATCGATCGTTAACTTTTGGGAGCTGTGGTTTCTCCTGCTTTAGTTAAATGTAGTGATCATTAAACCAGGCTTTTACTACTCACGACTCATAGTCGATCGATAGACACTAATCATAGACGGTCGAGTTAATCCTCTATTCCCTTTCGATGGGAGTTCGGAAGCCTATAGTAATAGGTTGGGATATATTCTCTGTACGTCTCGCGAATAACAATCGTAATGCCAGAGAACGAATCATTAATAATGTATTTCAGAGTATTAAAACTATTCGTTTATTAGAAAATATTTACAGGAATCGAAAATAATTAATCATACATACGCACACCCCCACCCATACCCACACCCGAATCTAGCTGAAATCTACGCTGCTTATATTTTTCGGAAGATACTAATGTTCTCTTATTAGCAACGCTTAATATTCTTGAGAATATCCTGGGACTTTACGTTCGGTTCCGTCGATGTGTCTATTCCAGTAGTTAGACATATCTGATATTAACTGATGAAAGAAAGCGCGTTCCTAAGACTCACGAAAGACGCACGAAGCGATTGAACTGCTGCGCTGCTGTCATGCTGCTGATGTACCCGCCCACTTGCTAATTGTTGCCAATGTCTTGGTTTTCTTTACAGCTTTATGTAGGCAAGTTTTTCTAACCGGATAAAGGTATTGAAATACCTGTGTCCCCCGCCACTACCGCACAAGGTGCAGTTTGATTGTTATTTTCTCCCTCCCAATGCCCACACTATCACGCCCACCACCAGCAAACACCCGAACGTAAAAAACCATTTCAGGTTTAGTTCCATAGTCTTCATGGCCATTTTTAGTTCTGCCGCCCCGACATCATAATGGTAATGATGATGCTCGTGAGTACAGTTTATGCAACTGTATGTTTGTATCATATCTTCTATTAAAAAAAGCAGTGGCAAGTTTTTCTAACCGGATAATGATTGTTATTTTCTCCCTCCCAATGTCCACACTATCACGCCCACCACCAGCAAACACCCGAACGTAAAAAACCACTTCAGGTTTAGTTCCATGGTCTTCATGGCCATTTTTAGTTCGGCCGCCCTGACATCATAATGATAATGATGATGCTCATGAGTACAGTTTATGCAACTGTATATTTGTATCATAATTGAAAAAGCAGTGTGTTTGAGTGTGACTTCCGGGCGTGGTTTTAGATCTCACGTATGCCCAACATAAACACTGATCTGACGATGAAGCCTAGGACTGGGTTCGGCTACTGTAAAGTACATCAAGCTCCTTATAGTCATCCTGTTATCCGTCTTTGTCGATTTCGTCGAGAAGAACGCATGATGCCCGATTATAATATCCGGTGTCCTCTAGAATTTGGGATTTGAAAACTTCTTGAAGGCCTGCCGATATGTTATTGAGTCCCCTTCTTGTTTTGACGAATGCGTGGTTCCTCTTGCATATTGGAGTTAGATGCTTGGCCACATTGCACCATCAAAATCCAAAGCCAGATATAGTATCCTTGGGGGGGGGGGGGACGGAGGGAAGACCGTATTATTGATTTTTTCATATCGGATTAAGGTCCAAGACAGATTCAAAAGAGCTGGTGGGTTAATGATGCTTTTATAACGCATTTTCCGTTTTGTGCTACAAACATCTGTCAATCGGTTACACACAAGCTATAAATACTGAAAAATCACTCCGTCATCTGTCGCCACTTTTAATTACGCAGTTAATATTTGTCGTTGAAATATCGAAGTTTGCGTAGACAGTGTAACTAAAATTGGTAAATACCAGAGTAAAATGAATTTTAAAAATACTTGCCGAAATTTAAGTTCCAAAACGCATGGTTTAATAAATCACTGTATTGGTATGAATAAAAAATTTTATTTCTAGACTCAATAATAACAGTACACTTTGTGTACGATTTTGGCGTCCGCATAGATCTGTGATAATTCTAGTGTACGAACAATGCGGACAAATTGTATCAAATACCAAGCCTTGGCCGGCGAGAGCTCTTGCTCAAGACCTCTTGCTGTGTTACTCAATCACAAGGATGTGGAACCTTTTGGTGATGTTATAGGAAGAAAACGCCCACAATAACATCGCATCTGTTGAATGTTGAAAGCTGAAATATACATAAATAATAATCCGGAAAAAAAAAGGCTATCAATAGACTATGCAAAATTACACAAGCAATATTTATGATAGCTTTTTAAATATGAGAAATGGTCAATTAATCATTTTCCCCGTGCAAACGAATCTGCACGTGTCATTGTCCATAAGATCTATTATTGGATGTCTATGTCTGATATTGTTCCTCTCTATCTACAATTATAATTATCCGAAATACAACCTGCGAACGTGAATGCTAATATTAAATCCAAACAATGATAAGATATACAATACTATGAATATTGCAATTGGATATAAGAACATTTCAGTGTGAAGAAGAAATGGAAGGGCTACAAACGAATAATACATCCGTGTCATATTGTACGAATCGGAAAGAAGGTCAGAGTAATTATTAGTGACACGGCGTGAGAGAATTAGCACCTTACAAATCAATACTATCAACCGCCACTTCCATTTATCCCGTGTACTTACCACTATATCCAAGAAATGTAATATAACAATAATATATGATTGCTATAATATACATCGTATTCCCAATAAATAAACAAACCCAAAGTTCTTTCGACAACACCGGCATTAAAAAGAATTGAAGTACATATAGAATTAGGAAGAGAGGAAAGAAAGAATTACAATGTACATCAAAAGCATATTGCCATTCAACTGTTTGTTCCACTGCATGTATAGTGTGTCTATGCGTTAAAAATCTATTGGCAAATACCCTGTTAAATATGGAGCATGAAAATAATCGAAATCATCAAGTATTTAGTCTCATCGAAACAAAAGGCCCTACTTTAATAGTACTAGGCCCGATCACAACACACGGCTCACTTGTACGCACACTTACCAGCACAGCGTTGAAATAACCATCCCGACTACAACAAAGTCAATAAACACCATGAATGTCATCATCTTTAGAATTCCAACTAGTCCATGGCCCAATACCAAACCCCATGCAATTGCGGATACTAACAAAACGTCCAAGGCTCGATTAGAATAGATGCGGCAAGAGTAGAATGCGAAAGTCTTAGTTTAGCATATTGAGAAACGGTGGATACGTACATCCGAGGAAAAACGATAACATCACTACAAAGGCTGGATCGTCTCTTGCCCATTGATTCTTCGTCTCTACGTTTAGTCAAACCTCATTAGCAACGGTCATAGCATATGTACGCAATCTATATTGTCCGAAACCAAGCCAATACTTACGTTTATGATAAATAATATTTCGATATCTGTCGTTTAATATACATTAGCATTATTAATAATAAGCCAGCATACTTTACACCCGCACGTCCATATACTTACACTCTTCGCGGTGCTATACATAAATAAAACATCTGCCAAAGGGCGAATTCAAAGTCCTATGAATTCAGAGAGCCTTTGTTTAGTTGTCAGTATTTTTCACAATTCAATAATTCCCTTTACAACTCCCCAACGTTACCACCATTTGTGGGAATCTGAACAATCGCCGTAAGAATAATGGAACAGAAGCTGCCCAATATGCAGGCCGACCTCGTTTAGCAGATACATGTATACTACGCGGAGCCGTCGTAGGGAGTATTGGCATGTTGTATATACTGATCTTCCAGTAGTGAGAAAAGCAACTGAAATATACGAGTGAGAGAAACCCAAATTTACATAAAAGTGGCTTGGAATAATGGACGGTTACACGGACCATATATATATCAAGTACCTTTTTTTTTTTTTTATCGTTGGGGACGATAATAGTAATCCGATGACTTTTAGATTTAATTTTTCGGTAAGCATAAAATTAGTGTTATATAAAGTTTAGTTTTGTCAATTGAGTAACAGAACCCCGTTGACAGACTGACGACCAAGATGTATCAGATAATGATGTGGAAGTTGTGCAAGGTCAACAAACAAATACAAAAGAAGAAAATGTTGATTTTATTCCTGCACGAGAATTTGTAGTAAATGAAGTAAGTCATCGAATCATGAAATGCATAAGTTCGTTACCTGATTTGTTTACCTCCCTACGCATTCTCTTACATCATACTCTTCCCATACTAGTCAGTGACTCTCCCGCCAACATTCATCTGCAATCGTATTACTCTTTCTCATTCCGTCTCCATCTTCAAACGACATCTCTCCGACATCAAGCTCCATCTTGCACAATCTAACGCAGACCACCTGTTGGATGTCTCTGCAGATAGTGATTTAGTTATTGGAGTGTACGAAGGTAGTCCACCAGGATGATCGATCATGGGTGACTCGCCCCTGATTTGGTTTTAATGTACTATTTCGTGACATACAGGTGGATTAAAGACATGGGAATCTGCTGGCGATCTGCTGGAATATTTGGGATTATTGTTCGAAAGAGGAGAGTTTAATGTCGAAATGAGTGGGAAATGTTTAGAGGTAATTATAAGGGAGAAGCGTGGTATGTAAGGAGGTGTAAATAATGAGAATGCGTTTGCAGTATTTGTTGGATCAACTTCATTAAGACAAGTCGGAATTATAGTAACAGTCTTTCTTTGTTGCAGTTGGGTTGTGGGTCCTCTCTCCCCGGTGTTTATATGCTCGTCCGTTGTCCTTTGATTAGAGTTGATTTCCAAGATTACAACGAGCAAGTCATTGGACACGTGACTATACCTAACATATTATTGAATACTGCTCTTGCTCCGAGCGATAACGATATCGACAAGAACAACACTGCTGAAGTTGATATACCCGACAGCTCGAACTTGTTGGAAAAGGTGACTGAAAGAAGCAAATTCTTTAGCGGTGATTGGAGTGGACTGAAGGTAAGCTTTTTATTATTTGAACAGCAATAATTATCACAAACAATATAGTGAACCATGGTTCTTGTATTTGGTCTAGGACGTTCTCGATATGAAATCAAATAGTGATAAATATGATATAATATTAACGTCAGAGACTATATACAATATTTCTTCAATGCCCAAGCTTTATAATGTCATTAAAGAATCTTTGAAACGGCCGACTGGGATTGCGTATCCTTTCTCATGATATTAACGTGCAAAAGACTGTCGCAATTCAGTTTGCGACTGCATTCTTATTACTACAAACCAATCATCATCCTTGACCACAACGTGTATGCTAGTTACGTGGCCGCCAAAACAATGTATTTTGGAGTTGGAGGAGGAGTGTTGCCATTCAAACAGTTGGTTGAGGCAGATGGTATATTCAACATTGAAGTTGTATTCAATGTGACTCACGACGTAAAAAGAGAGGTACTAGAGTTGAGGTACAAGTGACAATACGCCATTCAGTTATACGCAAATGTTTGCCATCATGTGATCATGGGTATCGATCACGGAAGAAAACTTTTAATACTCTGATAGTTCTTGCTTTGGTTCATAACACAACTTACTCTTCTGCAACATAGATTTACGGGACAATTTTTTGAACATCACATTAATACTGACAATAGCTTTCGTATTCACAACTCGTGATTAATCAGTTATTCCATTGGCATCATTTTCCTTCTCGTCTTTTGCTGCCTTACTCTGCCACAGACCATAACTCTTTCCTGGCGTAGTCTACAAGAAAGGTAATAATAATAAATTAATGCTATTAATTGACGGACCTTCCTAATTAGGAATAAACCGGATAATCAAGTTTCGTACCTGCCACAGCCTTATAGTTCCATCCTCTGGAATGATTATTAGTTAGTTAATTGAAATTAATTAAATGACTGCTCATGCATATATACGTGGTTCCTGAGCAATGTGAATTCCATACTGTGTGCTGCATTGCTGCATTACTGCATTATCTTGACCAGATCCCACACTTTTGAAATTGACATGATCAGTTCCACGTATGTCTAATATCGTGACTGTCTTACCTGATCCAGTTGCATATATTTCTCCATCAGGACTGTAACTGACTGTATGAATGGGTCCATGATGTCCTTTATACACCTCTATAAAAAAACCATTCTTGTCAGTAAAGTCGCTGGTAGTATATCATAAAGGATTTCCAGAGACTGACCAAGTTCCTTGCCACTTTCAAAGTCATAAATTCTAACCCACAAATCATTACTACCGCCAGCGACAAATCGCTTATGATCACGGTGTAATGACACTGATGACACATCATATGCAGTATCGATAGATTTATATAGTTGATAACTAGAACCAAAAGGAAAAAAGGGATGGCAAGAGTGAGTTGAAGACAATAACGGTCTAAAACATAAGCAAGTATATAGTAGTTATATCTGGCATACGTTGATGCGTCTATGAAGTAGACAGTCTTCCCTGCTGTGCATGTGATATATTTGCCATCAAGAGAAAGCTCCATGCTAGTGATTGGTTGTTCCGTCTTGTAACTATTGATCTGACTGAAGCCACGCACATCCCAAGCTCTAATACAATGACGCGATATTTGTTATGTTTCATTGTGCAATGTTGATTGTCGATTCGCAAATAATATCCACCGTCTATAATTACATCCTCGCTTACCGAATCTCCTTATCGTCTCCTGCACTTAATACAACATTCCTCTCTCCGTCCCAAATAACGCTCTTGATAGTAGCCTCGTGTGCCTCAACTTCAACGACAGGCTCTTCCGGTTTACTTAAATCAAATACTCGCAACTTTTTCTCTTGTCCACCCGATACAATGCGTGTACTGTCTTCAGAAATATCAGCTGAACGCACAATGTGACCGTGGGTGAATGAATGCAAAACATCGCCTGTATAAGTATCCCATAGCTTACTTTAAAGTTAAAGAGAGATTAAACAAGAAAAGAGGTTATTCAGTGAACGGTAGACTCTCCCCCAAAGAAAGCATAATCAATGCATACGCAGTAAAGTCAGCTGAAGCAGTAACTGCTTTGGAAGCATCTTTGCTCAATTTAGCACTCCACACTGCTCCCTTATGGCCTATGAACGTCCCGATCCAGTCACCAGTAGGACCATCTCGTAGCATTGGATTACAATCTAAATAACAGATAAAAGAGGAAAATTGTATCTCAGTCACTCGATGGACGACCGATAAATCTAAACATTGATCGTTCACGTAAAATACAAACCTTTGCAAGCACTTATCAAGTAGTAAGTTCCATCTGTAGTAATAGGAGAAAACTGCAAATGCACAACAGGGCGGGTATGACCTGAGCATGTTAAAGGTATAACCCGTGATGGGTTTGTATTTGGTGGTTGTGGTGTTGACATATCGAACAATTCACTAAAATACACAGTGCAGATATATGGCAATTAAATATATAGTACAAAAGAAGGGTTGAAACGTGAGATGGGGAATGGGAAGCGAAAAGCTCCAAGCCCTTCGCTGATAGTTGGAAAGATTTAGGATTACCTTCATTTAGGATTGTTGCGAGTATGACGTCATAATACGTTGTTACACGAATATAAAAATTAGTGTCTCACCATTGTCATTTTTTCCATGATCGGCAGTCCAATTTTTATTAATGTATTAAACAAACATGGGACCCTACTTAACTATTACCTTTCTAGGATCTGTCATTATCACGCGAAAAAAATCAGACACGATTTTACCATTTACCGGAAATAAAGTAAATAAGCAAAAGCAAACAGATTAATTATACTAGCAAGAGTGCGAGTACCTTCACATATACGAGTATGTGCTGCGGAATTGAAAAGGTTACTACATTCAGCGATAAATAAAAATCGTAAATCAATTTTTACAGAGTTTAATCTTCATCAATTAAATAAGCCATCGGTATAAATGGATGGCTACACTCGTTATTTATTAAACTAAAATACTCTGAGTTTTTCTATTGTAGTGGAAATGCACACATATACTTACGTAAAGACGCCCATTATTATGCTGAATCTTCTGATTAACTGCTTTCTTGATTTTCTAGCAAAGTCTGTTAATCTAACGTTCTAGCTATTTCAATTTTTTTCTTATTCAGCAGAAATACAATCAATTTATTGTGTTCTGAGGTACTTTTCTTACTTACAGTGCTGTTCAAAAGTAACCGTACGCCCCTAATGGAAGGAGAAATTTTTCCTGAGTATAGTGCATTGTAAACTCTGATCGCCTGTAAAATTTCAGCTCGATCGAATGTCTCCAGCAAATTATCCATACATTACTATTTTGTCTCGAAAACGTATATCGTTTAGTCGAACATGAACTTCAAAATTTCATAATTCCACGTGTTTCTAACGGAATTGTATAATATTTTTCTCGTTTTGCTTCAAATTTGTCTCTACGTGTCTCTTGGGATATATGGTCGAATTGGAAGAAAATCCTTGTTATACTTGGCAATAAACTCACATGATATTCCAATCAGTATCGTTATGCCGCATTCTGTAGTAACAATTACACAGCAATTTGTTCAAAAATTATAAATGTATTCCGATGGTGCAAAAAAAACAAAATAAAAATAAAAATTACGAAATTTAATTAGAAATGTGTCGAGATACGAATTTTTGATTTATATGGCCGAAATCGCATATATCTCGAAAATAAAACATTTGATATTTGGAAAATTTGCCGAAGACATTCGATCAAGCTGAAATTCTACAGATGATCGGGGTTTACAATGCACTATTCTCGCGGAAATTTTCAAAGCATCTAGTCCCAAATTAGGGGTGTACGGTTACTTTTGAATAGTACTGAAAATTTTAGTACATACAGCAATGTACATAAGTAATTGACCCCGTAATTTGCTGCATATAATATATCGCAAACACTGATCACCTGTAAAATTACAGCCCGATTGATTGGCTCCAGCAAAATTTTCAAACATCAAATATTTTACCTCGGATACATCATAACGCATGCGCGATTTTGGTCATGAGTTTCAAATTCATATCTCAACACAAATTTAGTAACTTTTTTTTTTGTTTTGTTGCTGCGTACAAACGCAAATGATCGTAGGACATGATACGGATTGACACCATGCACGTTTATTATTCGACTAACCACCCACAAGGTACGTAAAGATAAGTTTGACAAACAAAGCAAAAAAAAATTCGTGTAAATCGATTAGAAACATGTAAAGATATGGATTTTTGAAGTTTATGTCGAAATAAGCAACCCACACCTTTGATATGTTTTAGAGACAAATATTGGATGTTTAAAAAATTCGCAGGTGACATTCGATCGATCAGTGTTTGTGATATATTATATGCAGTGGAATTTTCAAAGCGCTTGCTCATTCCCTATCTCAATTACAGGGTGTTAATTACTTATTCCACTTTCCTGTATGTACAAATAAACGAACTTAATGTTTTCACATATAGCTATTTGTTATTTCCTTATGTTTCTCCTCGGTCAGACCAAATAATAACAATGTGTTCAACGTAAAATTTCTGCCAAAAAGTCAGTCAGATAGATACAAGTGTTTATTATACAGTATACGTCGTATAATTGGCATACAACAAAACAGCTCTATGGTCGAGTATACTTTTGGATGTTAAATAACTTAGAGCAAGAAAAAATGTCTAACAAACATCGAACAGGCTTAAATACAGAAATTTGTGGTGGCAACGATTGTAATTATTCCAAAACGCTATGCGGCCCAAATATACCAAATATAATAGTCTGATATTTTTTCTGCGAAGTTTTGGAAAATGTTTCACTATTCTGTTTACCGTAATTTTTAATGTCGCGTTATTAGAAATTTCTCCCATTTTGATTTCCTAAAATACTGGTGGTTCCAATTAATATACGAAAATTTTAATGAATTAATTAATGAACCTAAAAAATAATTAACTTGTCAAGCAGCAAAAAATAGTATGCCGGACGGAGACTTTATTGATCATTACTAAGAATCGATAATTTCACTAACGAATTGCTATTATTTTTGCCAATTTATTGTTAATCTAGAATTATCGTCAACAAGAACCTACAGAGATGTGAGCTGGAAATTCGAAAAGAAGGTGTCCCAGAATTAAGGCTGAACGTAGAGCTAAATCCTGAGGTCAGCTAATTATCGCTTTTCCTCTTTAGCCAGCATGACAGATTACGCATCTACAGACCTAGAGAAGATATATTGCGACAAGATAATGCTGCTGCTGAAGATATGAAGGGTCTGCACGATTAGCAAGCAGGAATATATGAGGCATTGACAACCTAACAGGTTATCAACTCTCCTTCTGTACGAATAATAAAATTCTGGTAACATTCCGTGAAACCCATTGTTTGAAATAATGTCACTCATGCAACATTTAGAAATCTCTGTTAGAATGAAATTCGCAGATCCGCTATTACTATTACAGTAATCTTAGCCACTACTACGACACAATTTAGGAATATTACCCTTACACTCGGTTATTTTAACGTCATAGAAAGCTTCTTACTATTATTAGTGCTGCACCAATTAGACATCTCGCTTGTAATGTACACGTTGTATAGTCGTAACGGTTAAGGTAATAAATAACGAGCAGAATTTGTTGATGTGTGACAGTAATAAATAATATGTTGTGACGTAGACACACATGACAGAAATCCATGCCATAAAAAGTCCGCATCTGTACGCTGAAGCGCAACACAGCTTCCCAACTGTCTTCTGTCGCGAACTAACTTCCCAAACTAATAGGCTTATCAGACGTCCTGCGAGTTTCTAACTCTAAGAGACGCATGAGATTAAAAGTTGAGGATCTAAACGTTGTGAGTATTTTCTTTAAAGGAATACGGTGAGCAATGGGAAGGTTTGCTTAAGAGGTAGTTCGGTTGAGGCTCGGCAGACGAGATGAGAAAAATTGGCTTTGGTACTTTTCCTGAAATACGCCTTCCGTATGGATATTCATCGTTGCGACTATACCTAGTATCGAGTGACGATGGTGTTGGTATGGAGGCGGGGCTTAGGAAGCAGATGACCATGTTTAATTACTTGATCTTATTTGATCGTCAGCTGCAAAAAAGAGTATGACCTGGTAGAATGTAGAATGGGTATGGATGCTACTGATTATCTGTTGTCTATTTGTATCGTTAATGCAAGGTATACACGGGGAAGAAAGCAAGAGCAAACACGTCTTGGGCGAATGGATTGTTCGTTCGACGTTGCATTTGAAATAATTTTTTTGGCAGTTTCCTTATAAGGCGAATAGCGTGTATATCCGAAAAGGGAATGGATGATGCCATCAATTAATTAATACACAAGCTGATCGTCTCACGTTAATGTAATTCGTGCATTGTAATTGCTGCCTGAAAATTAAAGTAAAAACTGTGTATTTATTCTATTTGAATTAATTATCAAAATTCTTTGAATGTCACCAATGATTATCATATTAGCAGTATTTTTGGTTGTCGCAAAAAACCCCCCACGATAACCCGTCCCATACCAGGATGAATCCAAAGGGTTCAGCGAATTGTACCTTAATAAAAACAAACTTCTAGTACAAAAGCGCTTATTTTTAATACATCAAAGATAGTATGGGAAAATGGGAGAACAATAAACTTATGGAAAGAAAGAGATAGGAATATCTAAAGCTTGTAACAGATAATTAGATGAATATGGAACTGCCAAATTAGACTTTACGTTTCAAGTTGGTGCTCAACCACTCTAGCCCTTCATAAAGACCATCACCACTTGTAGCACAAGTAGCTTGGATATACCAGTGACGTTGTCTGAGCGAGTGAAGACCGAGTTTGTCAGTGATTTCTGCTGCATTCATAGCATTTGGCAAGTCCTGTTTGTTGGCAAAGACTAAAAGAAGGGCATCGCGGAGTTCATCTTCGTTGAGCATACGCTGTAACTCTTCACGCGCTTCTGAAATACGTTCACGATCGTTGGAATCAACTACGAAGATAATACCCTGAGTATTTTGAAAGTCTTTTTTGTAGGGATTAAAATATGAGATGTTAGATATAAATGAGATGGATAATCAAGAAAAAAAATACAAATTATCAAACGTAGTTTGAATAGTACAAATAATGAATAGGCCTGTGCTTGGCATCGATATATCGGATCTTGGAATCGAGCACTTTGAATGCTCGATATTCATCCACCCGTTCGATACTGGAAACCAGCAAATTTTTTCTTAATAATCGGATAAACTTACAATGACGCCATAACGGTCGGATTTTATCTTGACCGCCAACATCCCAAACAGTGAAAGAAATGTTCTTGTATTCTACAGTCTCCACATTAAACCCTATATCGATTCACAGTATGTTAGCCATTGATTTCATATAGTTTGACAATAAAGCAGACAACGCCATAGATTGCGAGTGTTGTTCACATGACAAATCAGCTTACCGATAGTAGGAATAGTAGTAACAATTTCACCAAGTTTAAGCTTATACAAGATGGTGGTCTTTCCTGCAGCATCCAATCCTACCATCAGGATGCGCATCTCCCTTCGGCCAAATAAACCCTGAAGAAGTTTAGAGATAGAGAGACCCATATTTACTGTAAGTGGCTGGCTTTATTGTTTATATTCGATAATACGGTCTACGGGAACGTGAGGAATCGCAACTCTTAGCAAACACAACTATAGAGAACCAGGATGGAGAGAGATGTCGGGGAAAGAGGGCCTAATATACAGATAACTGCGGGGTGATGCAACTCGTGCCAAATCGAATGATGGAATGCCAAGTGGGTCCAAAGATTGTTGGACAACTACTAGTGCGCCACGCAACCAATAGCATGTCGCACAGTCTTAATGTCACATTGTAATTGGGGTAATCAAGTGGCTAGTGTTAAAACGCTTGCCTGACGTATACAACAAGACTTGTCGTCTTTCTACTCGATTTTTAACAGTTCCTTGTCAACTCAACCGCGCAGTTGTGCCTTTTGTGTGCATTATCTTAAATTTTACATCAACTAATACATAATACTATACAATATGTCGATAATATATTACCAATTTAAAGGGGCAATAGACTTTGATACAATAACCTTCGATGGTCCTGAGATCTCCGTGTTCGACGCTAAGAGGGAGATCCTCGTGGCGAAGAAATTAAAAGGAAACGACTTTGATCTCGTTGTTTCACAGGCTGGGACTGGGGAAGGTACGTCTAAATGATGCAGATTGTATTTGTCAAAGTCATACGAAATACAACTTTTTTTTTTTTTTGATATTAACAAGTATTACAACAAATGTATGGATTTTTGATCAACGTGCTCATTACTCATTGATTCTTGTATAGACTATACAGACGATAACGTGTTAATAAAAAGAAACACAAGAATTGTCGTACGCCGAATGCCTACTCGACCTGGAAAAGGTAACGCTCAGAGATACTTGGAAGGCACGGCGCCCTCACCGCAAAGAAACTTTGGAGCAGCGGCTCGAGGCCTTGCTACCTCAGTCAATGGGTATGAAAAAGTGATGCTTGTCTCGCATAGCTGGATCCATATGAATTGTTTAAAATATTCTTACTCATCTATCATTTATTTGCTTGTTTATCCGTCAACAGCTCAAAATTAAGGACTGGTGAATCGAGACTCGATCTGACGCAAAAGGTGCCTCCTCCTCCTCCACCTCTAATGACGTCAGAGACTTCCGGAGATGCAAACGAAGAGGAAAAAATACAAGCAATGTTCCAACAGTCCTCAGAGTTCTGGGAGAAAACACAGGAGCTAATGGCAGCGTAAGCATATCTAGACTCTACAATACGCTTTATATTATCTATCTTTTTATTAACTTTATTGCTATACAGTGCTCCGTTTAGAAGATATAACCAAGGGCGACCTCATGGTAGAGGTGGTCAGCACACACAACAACAGCAACAACAACAGATGCGTCCTCTGCCATCAACATACATTTGTCATCGATGTGGGCAGAAAGGTGTGTTATTCGATTTGTTATGGATTGGTGGATTAGAATTGGGACCGCCCGAGAATCGATATCTAATGGATTTTGTCATTGACGATTGATATTACAGGACATTGGATACAGAACTGTCCGACAAATGGAGACAAGTCATTCGATCATATGAAAGTAAGAAGAACAACAGGAATTCCAAAGAGTTTTTTGCAGAAAGTCGAACAAGTTCCTGCCGGTAAAGGTGTACTTGTGACACAAGATGGAAATCTCGTAATAGCACAAGCAAATGAGTAAGTCGTTTAACAAATAGCATACTTTTAGTGCTTTCTTCTCTGTGATATCCTATGCTAAAACTAACTTGACATTACTTGATCAGTGCTGCATGGCAAAAGTTTCATGCTAAACAGAAGGCATACGTAACATCTAATGAAGTACTTGAAGAGACAGCTCCAATCCCGGAGGAGCTTAAATGTCATATGTGTTCGGGACTACTCAAAGAGGCTTCAATGACACCTTGTTGCAAGGCTTCTTATTGTGACGAATGTACGTATTATAATCCGTTAGGTGAATGGTACAATAAGAGTATAATAGACTTTGATTTAGCTGTGATATTGTCACGAGTTCGATTACCTTTGAATTTGTCATCGGTCCTTTTAAGATCATTCTCTTTCAAAATACTATTTTCTTTAGCATTTTCGTTGGGTTTATATTCCCCGACATTTATTGCGGTTCAAAATAAATGTGATTACAAAAGTGGTCTTTTTTTTCTTTTCGCATGTAGTTGTTCTCATTACTTTTTATTTTTTGGAGGGATACAGACTAGCTCTTTCTATTCTTTATTTTTCCTTGATTCCTTCATCATGATTTGGTGTGATTGTGTGGATATGTAACAGTTCAACTGTGGTTCCTCGTTACTGTGGATGATGTTGACTTGCATCTGTCAACATTGTTCTCTCGCAAGTGAATATGTGTTATCGATGCCGGATGCTGAATTTACCATTGATTGCAAAAGGGATATTGTATTAGAAATGCTGCTACTCACCTCTCTCTTAAGGCGTTTTTTTTTTCCAATGTTCCTCCCATATGCCTATCGCCGTACTAACATGAAAAACCTCTAAGCATACCATCGATTCCCGCTTTGGATCTAATTATAAACGATATCGGTAATACGGAACATATCTAAATTACTAATCTAATTCACTTGATTACTATCATAGGTATTCGAAACGCGTTAATAACTCCACAGCAAGAATATCATTTCAAATGTCCGAGTTGTGGGGCTCACTTGGTACCCGATAACTTGTTACCAGACAAAAGATCTCGTGCTGCTGTCGAAGAGCATTTACGGGAATGGGCACGAAGACTTAATGAAATAGCTATTGCTAAGAATGCAAGTGACGTAGAAGGAGCCGAAAAAGAAAAAGAGATTATCGATAGCATTGACAGAACGCAAACAGACGAAGACAAGGATATAACGGAACAGAAAATCGAATTGGAGGATAAAGACGTAAGTTAAATCTGCGTAACTTCTGGTGATAGATGAATGGGTTATGCAATTAAATGAATTATATCGGATATGAACAACGTAACCACTATTTCTGATGTCTCTCCCACTCCATTCCAGGTCGCAACGCCAGCGAAATCAGAAATTTCAGAACAACAAGTGCAATCAGAACAGTCGGATCAAGCATCGCAACCTTCCTCTCAACAATCGCAGATCCAACGACAAACACAAAATAAAGAAAAATCTTCTCAGGCCCAGTCTCACTCGCAACAGGCACAGCAGCAGCAACAATCAGGCAATAAGCAATTCAGTGGTAATAACACGGGATCAGGATTTAATCAGTTTGGATACTATGACGACTATAATGGTTTCGGATTTGACCAAGGACAAGGTTATTGGTACGACGACTGTAAGTATAGACAAAGGAAGCTGTCTTGTTCCTTGATTATGTATCAAACGCAACGCCAACACTTATTACGTCCAAATTTTTCTTTTCCTCGACGTTACCCAGCCGGTTATCCAGTAGCCATGAACATGCTAAACAATCCCTACCACGATCCATCAAATTATTTCGACTCGACAGCTTTTTATCCACCCGAACCCTTTATTCATCCGCAGTTTGTAACACCGTTCAGGCCGATATACGACGAGTACTGGGACGGTCCGATGCCTCCTCCAGGTAATAATTTCAATCCGTTTGGAGGGAACATGGCAGGAATGGCAAACGCGGGAATGGCAATGGCAAATGCAGCAGGAAGTGGGATGGGAATGGCAGGGATGCAATTTCGAGGAGCTTTTCGTGGATCGTTTCCTGCTCGCGGTATGGCTGGCCGAGGGCGTGCTAGAGGACGTGGAGGATTTTTCGATAGAGGGTTTGGGGCAGGGCGAGGGGGTAATGCATCTGGAGGAATGGGAGGTAGTGGTGCTGGAATAGAGGGTCGTAGAAGTGCGTCACCTATGGGACGGTGGGATGGGTAGGTTTTTTATTTATTTTATTTATCTAATTTTATTTTATCTGTAATGCTGCTTGATTTAATCATGACACATCTGCTGAAATGCGTAAATAAAGAATTTATGTTTCATTTATAATTTCATATCAATTGATCCTGTATTTTGATAATTATTATAGGTCTTCACCACACGATAATGACTCAAAATACGACAAAGAGCGCATCCAGGACGATTTCCACCGATCACAAAGACGGAATCCGTCCTTCTCTCATGGTTCCAACGACAAAGACTCTGTGCGTGATCGTGCATCTCCTACACCAGTATCCGAGCGTAGTCGTCGTGATAGAGAATCGCGACGTGGGGACAGTTCGGATGAAGAAGATAATGACAATGTTTCCATACGTTCCGGTCATTCTTCCAGACGGTCTTTACAAAATGATGCGTCCAACATAACCACCTCTCCGCTATCAACAAGTCATGACATATCCGCTCCACAATCACCAACTAAATCCCATCGCTCTCGTGACAGACACCATCGGCGACACCATAGACATCGTTCTCACCGAGATGAATCGCGAAAAAGTACTCGGGATAGCAATAAAGAGGGTGGGAGCAGGCACAGGTCTAGATCAGAACACCGCGATGATAAGGACCGTCATGACCGTGAGAGAAGTAGTAGTCATAGGCGACGACATCATTCAAGCAGAAAGAGCAGTGGGGCAAGTGGAGGTAGTAGTAAAGACAAGGACGGAAATGACAGACATAGTCACGACAGACATCACCACCATCACCATCACGGACATCATCACAGCAGCAGGGATAAAGATAAAGAGGAGAGAAGGCGAAGAGATAGTGATGGCCATAGAAGGAAGAGCAGAGAGTTAGAGAAGGATAGAGACGTGAGGAAGAGGTATGATGACGAGGACGATGACGATGATGGAAAGAAGACACACGAAGACAGAAGTTCCAAGAGAACAAAGTATTGAATGAATCAAAAGTGGTTAAAACTAAATAATCACTGGGCGGTTGAGTTGGGTGATTGATTTATTGCTGTATAATTATTAATGGACAATTGGTCAGTGAATGGACTTTTGAGTTTACTCGGTGTGCTCGGTGTGGACATAATAGATATGATTATATGTAGTTGCTCTGTTTTTTATCGATTGTTCATAATCAAAAAAATAAGTAAAAATAATTAAACACCAGTGAAATTTGTAACAAATATGCGACCATAAAAGATCCCAGAATAGTCAAGCGCTACCCAAGTTAGGTCAGTAAATGGCAAGAGTTCAAACCAACATTAATTCAAATGTGGAAATCCTCTTATTTGTACCCCATGCCAAAATAACCGCATTATCGCCAAGAAATGTTCTTTCTAATGATATAAATAACTTTGAATCTAAAATATTGTTCTGAAACAACCATGTGTTACACGCACAAACGCGACACACGCTAAAATACCGGATTTTACAAGGCAAAAACACATTTCTCTACTTTTTGTAAAAAAGCTATTCAGAAAAGTAAAATTGATGTAGAGAGAAGAATTTATAAGAATTATGTAAATAATAAGTATTCGATAAAAGGCTCTACATGCTACTAAAAAAGCGCAGATTTGCATTAGGGACACCTTGCCAGAATAAACATCTGCCCTGTGAATCGTCTTATAACAACAGAAATATGTTAGACTTTGAAATTGCTGAACGTCACGTATTGGCTTTCCTTCGTATGTTTAGATTGTCATCGTTATAAAAGGCTTATTTCAGTAGTTCGAACAGGCAATGCATTCAACGAGTAGAGGCATAGAAATACTTTAGTTTTTTGTAGACATGAATTACATTATAAAAGGTAATTGTAATAAATGCAATAATAATAAATGCAATAGAAATACTCAGCATTGATGAGTGCTATTGATTCTTTGGCATGTCAATATTTAGTTTGCTTGATTTGATAATTAATATTGTCTGGCATAAGACATTGAAATTGGGCAGAAATTTACATAATTAATATGTATGAACGCCACAATGGGTATTTTAGCACGTGATTTTCGTGAATACACTTGCTTCTCATAACACTGACGATATGGAGCTCTTTTTCAATATAAGAATGACTATACTGAGGCTACAAGAGAACGAAATACAAACGCACGTTTTTTGGGATGACATTAGAAAGTTATCAACGTTATTGCAAAAATTGGGTTATACGCAAATTTATTACAAAAGGAAACAAGAGACAATTATTTATGCGTTTAGTTAGATTAAATAGAGCTGCTGTTATATAACATATAATACCAAATATTTACATAATTTTGTGCTTTCCCCCCTGCCGCTTATTGTCAAACCCGCCCCCAAAAACATTTGCGATATCGTAGAACAACCCATTCTGGTGAGTCGTAATAAATAGTCAACGCGGGGTGACTTAATTTTTGATAAACACTGTTTACCTCGCCTGGATTGTATCATATTTAAAAAAAAATTTAATTTTTTTCTCTCGTTTTTCTTTTTACACTGCAAAAACTTCTTACCGAGCAAGAACTTTTAAAAATCCTAATATGCTGGTTCTGGCATGGAATGATTTTCTTACTAAATGCCCTTTATACTCTTGACATCGAAAATCATATGTTTAGCAGGCCTAACATCACTGGGGCTTTATCTGTTAAAGATCTGTTGTTGACATATTCTTGAAAACGATGGAAGATATCAACAATAAAAGATTAATTCTTTTGTTAAGACCAGAAAGTTGGGGTAAACGTTATATGTTTCGGAAGGTCAAAGGCCAACCGGATGCTATACGCTGTAGTGCTGATAACTTACAGCATTTGAATGATTCAGCAGTTGAAACAGTTGATAGCTGATGAGACTGAATTATTTAATGCATATAATACAGCATTGACAACAGAAGATGGCGGAATAACTACATATTGTTGACATCAGAAATTCGTTAGGTAACTTTTTTGATACGTGGTCGTTAATGACCTCTAATATGGCCTTCTCACAACCGTCCATAAATGCACGCTATCTCTCATCCCCAAGCTCGGGAGTTAGACGTAAGTGCACACCCTCCACATTCTGCTGCACGCTCTTTTCAAAGTCCCATCATAATAAACCTACTCTTCCTCCCCCCATTGAGAATTTATATATTAAATTGTGTCACTTACTAAACAAAGACTAAATAATAATAAGGGAATTACCTGTTAAATTCGATTTGCGATCTTTATTTATGTTAAACGATACATCCATCAACGACTATACGACTCATACGCCAACATTAGGAGAGCTTACTCAGTTACTCACATGTCAGTTGAAGGGTTTTTAAATAATCAAGAAGAAAAAGAAGCAGTTTCTGATGACGAAGAGCCTATCGAATTATATAACTTACCGATAAGTGCCGGGCCCGTAATAATTGGCGCTAATGAAACTTCAAAAAGCTTAGAGATCCATGCCCTTTTGCAAGAAAAAGAGGATTGTTTAAAACCGCTTGACCAGTATAATAGTCTAAAAACCAATGATAATTGGCATCTTGCTAATATCACATGAAACCAATCAGATTCTTTCCCTCTCTAAATGCATAATCCCGGTGTGCATTTATGGAGGGTTCACTGTATATTCGAACATGGTTTCTATCGTCAGGATGACATGGACAATCTTTATGTTTCTCCAGCAATTCAAGTCACACAGGTGATAGTACATCATCTTGAATGTATGTATTAATTTGAAAACACTGTATATCTACACAACTACACATTATTCACCACATAATACTGATGATGAATTCCATAATTTTTTAAATAAAAAACAAAACCCCCACCTTTTTTTAAATACAAGCAATAATAATAATAATAATCATAATCATAATCATAATAACGTAAGCTGTTTTAGAGAAGCATTTCGCTTTCTTCCAATTTGATGTTCATTTACTTTTATATCAGAATTTGTTGTAAATATCGAATATACGTTGAACGCTATCCAAAACAACATATTAATTTCTCTCTCTCTTTTCTTTCTTCTTTTCCTTTTCTTCTTCAATTAGTCTACGATTATGAAAGCGATGAAGCAAAATTATTGGAAAGATAGTCTCTCTCAAAGTCACGTAGTCCGACTTATCGAGAGTGCCTATGTATTCCTAATCGATATAGGGATTAGTTGTTCACAACTATATCGAATAATTTACCAGGAAAATAAATTATCAACAATGCATTTCAGATTATAAAGAACTTACTTATTTGTTATTGGAAAGGATATTAATTGAAGATTAAAGGAACACTATCGAAAACTATACAGTATATCTAATCGAGATGTCAATTCTTTCTACTATGGTTAGCGCATGCTGATGTCATTTCTACCCTAACTAGCTAATTGTACAAATACAAATGTGATGGTGTCCCTTGTGATACTAGCGGAGTTACGTGAGGAGGAATATACGTCAACTATTTAATATTACTCATAATAGTAAAATGGTCCAATTCATTATTGTAAATAGGTTGCATGTCCAATTTCCTCTTTACTAGAACAAAGGATAAACTTCTTATTTGGGATCGCAATACGCCTCTTTGCCAGAAAACACGTTAGAAATTGGTCGCGCTTGCTTCGAACCCGTCAGAAATCACTGACAACGAATATTATATTTGGTAAGTTGTGGTTGTTATGAAAGTATCGACTAAATCTGGAATTACCAAAGAAATTAAATTTTTATCCACTCAATACTAACTCCTCTCCTTTGGATTGCAAAAGGCAAAAAGTATCTTTATGCTCATTTCTCAAAGATATTACCTGATAATAATATAATTTTTTATTGTAATTGTATGACGAACAGAGAATATGAAAACCAAGCCTGACTAGACAATTGGTTAAATAATCTGTTTGTTATAATTACTCTCACTCTTTTACTATAAATTTAGGTTGATATTGTCACGCGCCATAATATAGTGACGTGCTAAAATACAATCTGTAACAAATCACTTTAGGCTTTCCTCGGATAATGCTAACGTAATAGAAGCTAAGCAAGTAGTGGTATTTCGCTAGCTAAGCATTATCAGCTATTGTCAAATAAACGCGTTTACTTTGGAATATACGTATCTCCGATATATTATACGGACTATGGAAGCTAATCCATCGCTAGAAGGTAGAGGCATAGCTATATAACGTATTTGAAAATCGAGAATCCGCGTTATACCGATCGGTTAATTTGAGAACCGCGGGTATAATTAAAGCCAGTTTTTAAGGTCACTAGCTGTATCAGCGATTTACGCAAAAGTAGAGGTTGGCCAAGAATAGCTAATCCCAAGGCCAATTAGTGAACGCTCTCCCGTGATAGTTGGCTCGACAGTATCTTGAGCAGGCAAGAAAGTACATTGATATAGTAAAATATTCTCTTTTTCCAAATCTCAATTGACCTCACTGTGAGAGTTGGGTAGTTATTGTCCTAAAGAGATATACGTGTACCAATTCCAATATCATGAAGATAGCCATAAAGTATCATCAATTACTTCCAAATATATTAGTTACTTCGCCGAAATAATTTGACAATTATTTTCATATGAAGGTGTGCCAATTGTTTTACAGCACTACTTTGGTTTCGTGCGTGTGAATGGAAGCTTGAGAGAGAACATCCCTGATAAGTTAGGTTTTTTTTATTGGAAGGCTTATATTCACTTTACCAAAGACTTTTTACAACACTCACGTAATGATTTAAACCATGCGCTTGTCATCCTAGCCCGGCCGGCCCGGCTCGCCCGGCCAGCCCAGCCCGCCTGCCCCATCCTGAATTTTTAATCGCCATCTCGACTGCACAATGTCCCCAATCGTTCCCATGATTATGTGAATTTTCAACTAGTCCCGCTCTCTGCAAAGCTTGAGCGTCTGAAAGGCACGTCAGAACTCCAAATACAACAGGAATACCAGTATCTAGCCCAACACTCATTAGACCATGACTGACAGCTTCTGCGATATACTCGAAATGCATAGTGTCGCCTTTGATTAAGACCCCAATAGCTATGGCAACCTGGAACCGTCCGCCTTGCAAGATCCTTTTTGTTGCAAAAGGTAATTCATAAGAACCGGCGACGTCTTCGATATGTATGTTGCTACGATTGACTCTGTGGGAGGTTAGAGTGTTAATGGCCCCCTCGACAAGAGAATCCACGATTTCGCTATTCCAGCGCGTTTTTACGATCAAGACGTGGAGGGATGAGCCGTTATATTGCCCTGTAGGTGCTTTCACACCTTTTGTGAAGGACTCCATGCTTCTAGCAGTATGTGAAGATGGTGTGAATTTTTAGAAACTACCATTTCTATGTGCACAAAAAATCAAAGACGGTCACGTTACTGTGCCGTTGGTTGTTTTTAGATTTTAGATTGTCTCACACATATACAATGTCATGTGACTATTACAAAGTACAAAGTTCCGGTTTATCCCATAATTATTGTTGGTTATACAAATACAACTTGCCAACAAAATCTGTCATGTTTCTTTAAAAGGGCGCGTGGCGGGACTCATTGTCCGTATGTAATGCCACATGGGTTTTTTGGCCTGTGCAGAATCGTCATCAAGAGATTTTGCGCGCATAATTTTTAGGAATTCAAATGGACGGTTAGCCTTGGCTCCGTTTTGAGCTGGCGCTGTCCCTTTATTATCAAGAGTTGGGGGCGTGTTCAATGTTTATGCAGGGATAAATATTAAGGAATAAAAAATGTGAATTCTTACAAATGGGATTATCTGCGACCCCAGGCTAACAATATGTATTCGTTCAACACGATGCTTTTAAAGTTTATTACGATTTGTATTCAACCGGAATGAAAGTTCGAACTTCCAGCTAGTACCCTCAGATACTCTATTGATTTGTCTCCAAGCCTACAATCATTGACATTATTCACATAGACAAATTATATACGTATATACAGATATATACTTTCGAGATCATAGTTTCTAAGACACAAATTATTATTTCTCTTTCGAATTAGGTCGAAGCAGATTCGGCCACGGTTTTGGGTTTACATTCATTCTCACCAATAGGACGAATATACACAGAATCCGGTGGATGATCTTTCTCCCCTTCTTCGAACGTATAACTGCTGGCTATTGCCAAATACTTTCCTTCAAAGTTGAAGCTTAGACTGGCGACACTGGTAGGAAACGGAGGGTACTGGCGAAGACGTTTTTTGTTGAAACCATCCCAGATGTTGACTATCCCATCCGCGCCGCCTGATGCAAACGTACCGTGACTAGTTGAACGGGGAAAAGGGATGAATTTAGTGAAAAGTAGACAGTAATAAAAAAAAAACAAAAAAACTCCCAGTAGAATGCTTGATACATACATTGGATGAAATGCTAGCGCATTTGCGGGGTACACAGTATCAACGCCGTCTATTATTTTACGATGACACTTGAATGCATATTTCTTCGCTTGCACATCGGGTGCAGGATCAAAGAATTCGACAGCCACACGTCCCTCGATTGAACTACAGGCATAACCTATACAACGCCAATACACGTTAGTTATCGATCGTTAAACGTAATCTACACCATTTCCAAACAAAGCGTGCTGGAAACCGATAACTCTTCTTGATGGTAAACCTTGTCCATTGGGCATGCATTTTACGCTGCGGGTCATAAACTTCAGACTACTCTCCCGTCGTTGTATTGGCTCGGCCATGTATCGTATATCATATATAAACACGTGTCTTCCGGCCATTGCTACTACTAATTTGTATTGAACTACGTCTAATGCGAAAACTTTATTCGGTTGTGCATGAACACCAATTGAGGCATCCTTTTCACGGATGTCCCATAGACGAACAGTCTTGTCCCATGATCCAGTGACAATTACACCTGAATAAAGAAATAGAGGGAGGAGAAAGGATGTTTATTTAGAATTGGGAATGAGGGAAAACGTGGAAAATAAAATAGAATGAGAATGTTGACTTACTGTTGTCTTTACAGTATTCTACACATTTGACACCATCATCGTGTGTTCCAATAATGGATTCATTCGTCGTGTTAAAATCGAATCTATCGATAGTGAAGTGATCGTCAAGGATTAGCAATTTGGTTTTACAAAGTCAGGTGTAATTGCTACAGATCGCGTTATTCACTCACTTGGTCAGACTCTTATCTAATCCACCACTGAATGCATGTGCACCATCTGAGAAACAGCAGTCGAGTACGGCTGCACTGCACGCGTACGTTTGTCGTAGTTGGTTGTTTTGTATGTCATAGAGTCTTACACTCTAATAACCAAGTTCTATGTAGTGAGAACAATTGAGCAATCTCTCCTTCCCCACTCTATTCTCAATACACGCAAACCCGTCCTAATACCTTGTCCCAGGAGGCCACCAGTAACAGGTGTGGATTAGTAGGGCTAAATACTACAGACGATATTGCGTCGGATGGCGGATCATATAACTCGTATTGCATAATTTGTTCTCGTTCCAGTTCGTTTATTTGTTTTTTGTTATTATTATTATGATGGTGACAAGACTGATCATTTACTTTCTGTGTATCCACTGAACTGCTACGTAATTAAAATGGATCGGGGCCTAATAATATAATGAATACTAATTAATATTTGTACCCCACACGCTACTAATACTTAGAATCGGGTCCTCATATTAATATTAATACTAATTAATATTTGTAACTCAGGATCACGCGCTACTACAACTGTACCCGGTCTAATACTAATTAATATTTTACTGTACAAAACGAGGGCGCACGCTGAAAGATTTCAGGGGATTCAGCTACTGAAACTATAAAAGAATGGACGACAAATGAATCTACCATAGTTTCGAAGAACTTTCCATTCATAACGATTATGCAATAGGGGTTGAATGCTTGATTGTCCCCTTTTATCCAGCCACCCTAATCATTCATTCAAATGTCAAATGTAATCTTGCATAAAGCAGACTTGTAAAACGCTTAATATACTGACTTATTTATTCTAGTTCGAAGGCTTTAAAATCGAATTACTGTGTATCATAATAATATAACGCGAAATAAAGTAGCAAAAATCATATATATATAAATATGGGGTTCAAATGTTTGACCCCTGAAATGTTCATGTGGCGTATTATGTTTGGTTCTGATGTTAAATATTCCCACTGTATAGCACACGTTTGATACTTCACTTGCTTTCGAGCAAAACACCCTGCCAACTTTTATTCACTATCACACCAATGACCACAGCCTCAACTCGTCGAATACAAAGTAGACGAGATAATTCACGACAAGCTGCTTTTTCCTTTCTCTCGAACATCAGCCTTGGTACTGAGAACGCTTTCACTCAAAACAATCGTCGGGTAACAGGAGTTCCCGACACTTTCGGATCCAGCAATCTAATATCTGTTGACAGTTATGAAAAACGACCTCAACCGAATACTCAGCATTTTACTGATACTAGTAAAAGTAAACTTAATGGTTTACGTATTGACACAAAACGAAGTAGAGACCCTGACAAAACGTTACCGGTGTATCCCGTCGACTCTTCAAATGGTCAAGTCCCTCTTGGTGGAAACGTATTCTCTAACGGGGAGACTTCCACCATAGAACAAGACGACGAAGACGAACCTCCTTTGTGGAATAAACGCAGTAGAAGCGACAGCGTACGCGCACAGGCGGCAACCAGTTTCTTGAGTAATATCAGTCTTGGTGGAAAGGACGGTAGGCCGCACCGCATATCAAAAGAGAACGAGAGTGTATCAGTCAAAGACAAGACAAAAGGCTTGGAGACTGATGCAATTATTGAAGAAGAGATTGTAGAGAGCTTGTACGGGCCTGTTATAGATGGTCGGGGCAGAACGAATTCAGGTTTGTTTGAAGCTGGATTATGTTATTATAATTACATTTGTGCAGTGTCCCTGTGATAAAGAATGCTTTATGATTTGCATCATTATTCATTTTTCAATGTCTCGCCTCTTTTATGACATGTTTGAATCATCAGTGTCTTCCGATGACACGAGTTCATCCCTTTCATTATCACCTTCCCAATCTCCTCTCGGAAGCTGGCAACAAGAGGGAATGCGTCGAACGAGTATAGTTCGCCACGGATCATACAACACCAACAATAACAGTTACATAAATCCCACATCTTTTAGTACAAATTTTAACAATTCGGCTCGAGCCAATGCCTCGCAGCAAAATATGATTCTTCCGACAATATCGGTAAGCTTGAGGCGCAAATAGAAATAGTATGAATGACAAGCTTGCAATGGTTTATTCACCGAGAACTCTCAGGTATCTCCTACAAACTTGGGTGTATTTTCTATATTGAAGGGAGGTGATGATAAAACGAGTCGTCGGGATTTGTAAGTATATATTACAAAAGACAATACGGTTTCAAACGTCAACTTGCTTGTATTTGTATTTGGCAATCGAAATACAATGACTAAAATCGTCTATTAATTAAGGAGGAGGAAGCATAGTATTTCTGAGAATCCAAGTCGAAGACAGGTAAGTATTATTTTGTATTAGCATATAGATAATAGCCACTATGTCTGATCTTTTATCAAAAACGCGTTGTAGGCTCAGTCTTATGCGTATTTGTTATCGCCGACTAACGCATTGGGGTAAGTACATTAGCAAAAAAGTATGCGGTTTATTTGTTTAAACGTTGACACAATAATATCAACTAAATCTTGTAATAGTTCAGAGAATGACAAAACTGGTTACGATCCATATGATCTCGACGATCCCAATATAAGTCTTGGGAAACGTCGACCATCAAAAGCCTTCTCATCCTTTATGGTAAATATCTTTTCGGCAATACAATTATCTCGGACAAACATGTTGGTCTCCGATCTATAATAATGCGTAGAATTCACTTGATAGTGAGAACAGAAACATCTTATAGTATATTTATACTATTTTGCGTGTTTGATATAACGAGTTTTGACTGTCATATTCCCAACGTTATTAATATTCATATGTTCTTCTTGTAGGGCTCAATAATGTCTTACAGTCGTGAATCCGACGAAAAGCGAGAAGCGAACGAAACATTCCGTCAAAAACATCCACAAATTGATACTGGTATCACATTGAGTAAAATAAGAACTATAAAAGAAAAGCTATTGGCAGCAGCTAGGAATGAGGTTAGCCAAAGATGAGAATGTGAGATAAATATTATACAAGATAATATCATATTGATGCTTACAATTTGCCATGCTCTAATATTAGAGTCTTAATCTGGACTTGGAACTATCGACTGTCGCGATGGCTTATTCTTACTTTGAGAAACTTATTCACAAGGTAAGGGCAAACAATAATATTAGATTGGTTGAAACTATGAATCTAACATTATAAATTTTCATCTATATAGAAAGCTGTAGACAAATCGAATAGGAAAGTCATAGCTGGTGGGTTAAATATAATCTTGAAATTGAAACTGCTTGTTATTGGGCTCTATTAATAAGGCTTGCTTGTATCAATTTAGCAATATGTTTGTTTTTGGCTGTAAAAGTCAATGAACCACGTGCCACTGGGCTCGGTTCATTACTAGATGTAAGTATGATTTCCACTTGGACTGATTGTCCTGTTGTTGCTTTTATAATACATTGCTCATGTCTGACTGACATTAATGTTCTTCAAACCACAGTCTTTGCACAAGCACTTGGATGTTAATGAAAAAGAAATAAAAGATCATGAATTTTCCGTATTTGCAGCGTTAGATTTTGCATTGATGTTGCCAAACGAAGAAATAATGCCACATTTTGAAAGGATATTTAGAACTTTGGGTTAGTAGTAATGATTATGTTAATTTGTATCTTTGTATCTTTGTAAGGGGAATAAGACATGGATCTGACTATTTGTTCTCTGCAGAATACAAAAGCACTGAAGAATATCTTGGTCCAAACCCATTTTACACTTCTTCCGGGATAAGCTGACGCTATCGGAGATTGACTTCCATATGAGAATGAAAATCGATATTTTATATTTTCTTACCTCTATACAATGAAGATATACGCGTTAACGTCGATAATATGACGTTGACTGTTGATGAGATTAAATTTGAAGGACTTTGGGCATTGCAACAGAAATAAACGAACAATTTCAATTACGTTACTGCATTTGTGTGTGTGGGTGTGTGGGTGGATGTGGGTGTGTGGGTGGGTGTGTGTGTGTCTCTAAGACAATGTAGATATTCACAACCTTGGGTCCAAAAGCCTGCATTTAGAAGAGCTAATACAGTGAATTCGCTTGGATATATTTGCAAACGAAATACTGTATAGAATGTAAATTAAATATCGTCTTGTAATAAATTCAACAAACAACAGTCCCATAAGGAAAGACTGACAATGCGGAAAGCAGTAAATAACTCCGACGCATCAGACGCAGACGCAAACGTAATATCAATTACTACAGACTTTCTCAACAGTGTTGTTTTCTACCATTGGGATTCCTTATCAACAACAATAGGTTGTTGGGACTGCTCTTAATGTCATTTCGCATCAGTAATTCATAAACGTCCAACAGTCGTTGGGTTGAATTCTAAGTCAAAGGTTTGTCTTGACCCATTTAGCAATATTTACATGGGATGTTATCTTTGTATTTGAGAACAAGGCTCGTCAATGTAGCTTTCTTCTATTATCATTCCTTAATGGTTATTGAATCGTAGAACAGAACATGCACTTACCCCACAAGTCCAATGTGGGACCATATTATTTCCCGCAGTTAGAATGCATTTGTCATGTGTCGTTAAGTCATGCGCAACAAGAGATAGTATTGTGCTAATAATAGTCAATATTCGATATCTATGATGCTTGGGGCCTGTGCATGCATTCACTCATGCTCATACCAAAATTAGTATTTTCTATGTCAATGTCTAATAATGGTCTTTATTTGAATGAATATTTGTACATATCGTTTGTTTACATCAGTAGACACACTTTGTATTTACTTTGTATGACCCACAATGATCAAAGATTATCAATTGTTGAGAACAGTGATTATCGAGAATAGTGATCATCAATTGTCTATGAGATTGTAACTAGCGAGGAAGCTTATATATTGTATGTCCTTTACTGCCCAATAAGGAAATTTCAATGGCACGGTTGCGCAATACATTAAAAATTTGTTTTCGTAACAATCGCAAATGATCCGATTATCTGCTGTATGAAAATTTCATACTTTTCATTGACGTGGCGTTTCAAGAGAAGACACTGACTAGCCTAAATGGAATTTGGATCCATATGTCGATGTTTGAAAGAATTGCTTCTTTTTCAGTCAATGGTAGATCGCATCCAATTTTGGGACAAGAAAAAATGTTCCCCAATGGCGACACGCATACAAAGCTCGATTCATTTACGAAAGCCTGTAGCATGATGTAATGTGCAGAGAAAAGTCATAGACTCATGACAACATTGCATTTTGTAAATCTTTTTTTGCGGCAAAAAAAAAAAAGAAAACAATCACTGAATTAATAAACGACATCATTATTATTTATAGAATTTATGTATACAATATATCCCCCCAGCACAAAATAAATCTTACATAGTGGCGTAACAGTAATGAAGTATTGTAATAAACTAACAAAAGTGGCAGTAGTAATCAAGGAAATGGAGACAATCCTTCAGGAAAGAACAGAGTGAAGGAAAAAGGCCACGATCCAAAAACACCCGCGGGGTGGGCTCCGTAGAAGGTTATAAGATTTGACAAAGAACAAACAAATTAATTATTTCAATAGTGGTCAACAAAAAAATCGCAACATACAATGCATCAACATTAATATCAGATATACAATTTTGCTCAAATTTTATTATTATGATAACAAGCGTTGTACCTCGGTTGGGGACCTGTCTCAGTTCGGAACCCAGTCACTCAGTCCAGAACTCAGTTGTCTCAGTCCAGAACCCAGACACTCGGTCCAGAACCCAGTTGTCTCAGTCCAGATCTGAGGCAGGTCCCCAACCCAACGTTATGTAAAGTTGACTTGTGGAAATATTTAAGTTTTGAAGATACATTGTTTTAGTAATTTTCTTTGACAAGATTATTGTTGAACTTGTTTAATTAACTATCTATATACATGCTTTTGGGTGGGGTTTGAATTTTTTTTTTTCAATAGGAATACAAAGTTCCAATTTAATAAGGTTTGAAAAAAGAATTTTAGAGAATTGTACAACGCAGGGTTTATATCAACATTGTCTTTTACTTGGCTAGAAAAAAGTTGGATTATGTCTTTAAAATAAGTCCGTAACATACAACTTGCACTTATTATTATGTAAAGTGATTTATCCAACAGCTCGTTGTACAATAAAAGTTTATTTTTACCGATCATGCCTAAATTGCGATTCGTCTGCCCGACGGTTTTTCAAATTGTAAACTCCCCATATATTCGTCAATCCGTCTGTCAGACGGTTTCATATCGATCAGAATCGATAAAATCGACTCTTCAAGAATATTTTAATATACATTATTTATACATAATACAAATATATTAACTTTGTTATTGATTTGAGCGTTGTGGGACAGATCGCTATTTGGTCGGATCGGGAAACTATATATTGTTAACTGACATTACATGGCACTTCTACTCTTGCTAGACTAAACGGCCCGAGATACCTTTTCTGAATGATGTTAGCACATTTGGTGACTTGAGAGATTGTTTCTATTACCTACAACAACCCACGCATGTTGGTATTCATTTTTAATGCAGGAATACTTTTAGCGTTCAATCGTAGGTGTTGTTAATAAAGGAACACAAACTCCATGTTTAACGCCATAAATGTGTTTAATACAGAATAATAATAATAACTCTTAACTTGCGTTTAAACATTTGTTCCAATAAAATACATATAAAAATTTTAAGCTTATAATCAAATCATAATCTTATACTATCATTATTCCAGTCGATGTCTCCTTTTTTGACCACATTTGGCAAAGACTTTGCCTGGCAGCTAATCAAGGAACACCCAGAGATATTGACATCTGAGAATACTTAGCCACTAGATCCAATTCACCAAAGTCAGTATGGTTATTGTTGGAAGGGACTTCTACTTGGGCTTGGGCAGAACTTACTTCTTGCGGGTTTTCTTGAATGTCTAGTTCAGAATTGAAGTCGGCAAGAGTTCTTCGTGAACAAATTTTAGCAATTTTGGCTGTTTCGAATAACTTCCAAAAATGTTACCCTCTTTCAAAGAATCTAAGCGCTTGATAAACTTGTGAATTTGTGTTCTGAACACATCGGTAAATTCCCCTTTTCCATGATAGCATTCATAAAGGACGTTTTGCCATTCTTGTTGTAAATCCGATTTTTCTTTCTTTACGTGCCTGTTTGTCCGTTTCTTGGAATTTGCTTGCATAAATGGGGTGACTTCCTTCAAGTCCGGAGTCCGAGTTGTCCGCGGCGGGTGAAAATCGACCTTGAAATTAAAAAGTTTGGCCAAGTATCCTTCAAATACGCATTTGACTATAAAATCACTCGAGCATGTTTTGATCAATTGTAAACATTGTGGTTCAAACGGAACTTTGGCCTTGTAGTATTCGTTGAAAATAGTATCCGATTCGGCCACATGTTGAGGCGTGTTTGCTGACTGAGATGTCGCTATTTTTACCATTATAATCTCTCTCATCAAATACTTTGTAACTAGAGACTGTTTGCCAAATTTTACCAACATGTAACGATATACGATAGGCGTGTACTGAAGGCGTGTATGTAAGGTTAACTTAGTCATGTCCAGGTTATTATCAACAATCCCGTAATTTTCAAGGGCAGAGATAACTTCAAATTGGGGGTCATCAATTCGATCAAGTATATAATCTAGCACATCATGTCGCTTGAGGCTTTTGTCTGGATGCAACAGTTCTCTCAAGCATGTAGAAAGTATTGTGTTGCTATTCAGATCGCGAACAATGACAAATGCATCTATCAATACTTCTCCTATATCTTTCAACCTATGCTCGAATAGAACCAGAGCGTCTCCGATCAACCCATCTGTTAGTTTGAATCCAATGCTTTGCAGATCATTTAGTTGTTTTACGACTTGATCTAAACCTGGTTTAACCCAACAAGCTGTTGGGGTAGGAGGATAAAGAATTAATAACGAGCCTTGCATGACAAGATCATTTACATCGTGAACAACTTCATTGTATCCAATTTTTTTCCAGACATTCACTAAATTGGGATGGATGAGTATAGCCCGAGCAATGACATTCAATTGACGAACATTCTCGTAGCCATCAGTAGGTGGATAGTCATCGTAGTTAACAGAGCGTGACTCTGTACTCTCAGGAATATGCCTTCGGATTTTGGGCCTTGGAGGAAAGGGCGCAAATCTAAAAGTTGTGATCAACCTTTCAATTTCGTTTATGTTATCCTGCAGCTTTTTTCTTGCTTCGCTAATAACTAGCGGACCAGCTGAAAGATAATAAAACGATTCCATGTCATTTCCGCGCACCGGGATGTCGTTTCCGTCAAATCGGTCATGGCCCTCTTTGAGAATTCTAGAAAAAACGTTGAACGGTAGATTGCTCGCCCACGGGCTTCGGATTTTACTCTGAATAATTTTTTTACGATCCGGATCGAGCGGTCTTATGTTGTGTGTTAACTTGAGATCAATAAGCCTGCTGTCATACTTGCCAAATCCAAGCATCACCCGCTGAATAAAGTATCGGCTGAGATGGACTTTTTGAGCAAATAGACAGTCGACTACTTCAACATTAATGAATGGCTCGCCCATTCTTACTGCATGAAACAGTGCATGAGTTTTACCATATCTGTAGGTCAGCCACCTGGCTTTTGTGGCAGGTGAGTTTACTGTGGCGTACCAAGCACGGGAGCATCGAGCGAGTGGTGTAGGATTACTCAAGTGGAGAATAATTTCTACTTTAAGTTCAGTCGCTAACCCGTCTAAATAATTACGCGCGGTAAACGTTGCAAATATATATTCGCTGTTAGTTTCCATCGTAGTTGTGAATTCCAAGTAGAAATTAGCTTATTATGATTGGGTTTCAAATCTGTTTTACGGGCCATCTTTTTGTTTAACAGATAGCTGAAATTTATAACCATATCTCCGGAGAACTAGAAAAAACTTTTTTTATTTTACTCTATAATACTTTTACTATACTTTCTACTGATTAGTCTCAATTCTTTTACCCCATTTGGGTCTAATGAATGGAAAGGTAATACAAAAACAACAAAGGACTTTGTTTGTAGATCGAGTTGAAATTACGCCATCATTTGACTTTAGATGAAGTCGTGCTACAAACATACAACACTCTTTACGGAACAGTGCTCCGTTTGTCTTCTACCTGTTTTTTCAAAGAGAAAAAATGTTAGTCTTCAGCGAATATGTATTGTGAGCGTCGGCTCACTTTCAATAAAGTTATCTATAACATCTATTCATTAACCCTGTTGTCCTGATTTAGGGCTTTGTTTTTGTTACAAAGCACCCTTTCAAAATTTACCACACAAGCCGTTTTATTTCTATCCCTTTCAATAATTGCTTCGAAGGGACGCTGCATTTCATTCAAAATAAAGGTACCGTGTCACATGCATCGACAATAGATAGCATTCAAATTTACCCTAATTAGGCTCGACAAAAAATTAGGATCAACAATTCCGGTAGTACTGAATGAAATAGTATAAAAAAGTGTCGGGAGATGCCGGAGTTTGAGAATCACGATGCGTAGATATCTATCCGGTAGAATATTACTAACGGTCTCCGAGAAATAAGTGTACCAAAGCTATTAGCACTTGTATACCAAACCCGCAATATTATTAGCAGAGAATCGAAGTGGACGTTCAAGCATATTAATATACATGTTTTATATTTTAGTCAAATTTACTTGATAATGATAACAGCTCGTTATATTAGTAAACAACAGTCATTACGGAGAGTCGAATATTGTATACATATTTGATAGTTGTCACAACACTAGAGCTGGTTAGTTTTGTTCCGTTCTTTTTACAAGCGCTGCGACCATCTATTACTATGCATCACCTTGACAAATTACTCTTGACTGTACTTTGTTCGCTATTTTGTTCGTAGTGGAAGTGACATCTTCTAGTTGTAAAAAGTCTGATGTCTCTAAAATCTTACTCAAACTTCTGTAAGCGACTTTTAAATTCCAGAAGCTTATCTGAATCAGCGCTTTCCTGCAAGAAAAGTAGGTCTAGTCGTCTAGTCCACAATTTTTAACTGCTCAATGTCTGATGAAATTTATTAGTCGATGATCGAAGGATTTGGTGGAAACCATATCGACTAGTTTGTTTCGAAACTCGAAGAATGAATTTATAACAGATACGTTGGCAAAGAAATTTGAAAACGACTCCGTCTCATCAAATATGATAAGGAAACCCAACAATGGCGCAGAAAGTAGATTTTAATTTAGCACCCAAGTATTTTACCAATAAATGTAAAGATTTGAGAGTCTCAAACTGTCCATATTTATTACTCGTAAATCGGGGTCTTCGCTTACGTTGTTCTTTATTATCAAGCTACAGATATTTAATTTAACTTATAAGAGAGATTGAAAATTTGAATCTTTGTGTGAATCAATAGTAAAAGATATGAAAACGAAAACTTTTGGAAATTTTTATTGTTGTATTTACAATATAAGTAGCAATGCTTTTTACATTGATTTGAAGCAAATTGGTTGTACTTTTTGAAAAGAAGAAAAGATAACCTATTGTTATAAGGCTGTAGTTTAATGAAGTGGGCCGCATATATAGTTTTATAGTTTTCCTATTGTAACTTATATAGTGTCACTTTGTTAAACTACAGCTTTATAACAGTAATATATTCTAATGAACTTCCCCCAAACAGTAAAAAGCATTGCTACTTATATTGTAAACACAACAATAAAAAGTTTTCGTTTTCACGCAAAGATTCACAAACTTTTTGGTACCACCTGTAAATGAGCTGCGAAGATGGAGTTACAATTTATGTAAATAGATAAACAGGTAAAGAGAAGGAATTGTAAAGATTTATCTTCAAAAGCAAACGAGGCATAAAATAGTCTGGGCTTCGCGCACCACAAATTCTGTGGTTCCAGAAACATAGGGCCAAGTTTTTTTGCCGACTATTTTTCAATAGTAAGAACATATAACTTAGACCGTTTAACACCTGTTTTATACCTAATGGAGCCTTTTTATTAAATTACGAAAAAGATAAAAAAGACCAGTTTTAAAATTTCTAATAAGCGAACTAACGCTATTGCTATGTCAACAAAAACAAAAAAAAGCTATTAGTTTATGAAACAGGTTTGAGGCTGTAGCTTTTTTCCTTCAAAGTCATTTTTAGTTTGAAATTTATATGTTCACTGGCGGATAGGAAACTGAACTTTTTGTCATTCCCTTTAGCCACTTTTTTTTTGTTGTAACAATGTCCTTTGATACCAGTTTGCTTGTAATAGCCATAGATGCTTTGTAACTCGCGCTCGGGACCCAAAAAAAAATAAAAATTTTCCGTGCCATTCAAAAATCAAGTTTGTAAGATTCGGTTTGAGCCGACATGCCAAACTTGCCAGTAATTTGTATGTTATCATTTAGTATAATACCAAATGATAACATTCGCCACATACCATCATGTCCTAGAGTTAATTTACCTTGTTTGGAAAAAAAAACTTAATCGAACTCCGACGCGTAGTAATGATAATAGCCGAAATGTCATACATTACACACAGATATTCTCCATTTAGTATAATTACCGGGTTAACTATATATATATTAGCACAGGGATTCTAAATGACACTGAGCCTTTCAAAACATCTATGACAAATTATAATCCTCCTACCGTGTATTTAGACGGGTTAGCGACCGAACTTAAAGTAGAAATTATTCTCCACTTGAGTAATCCTATACCACTTGCTCGATGCTCGCGTGCTTGGTATGCCACAGTAAACTCGTCTGCTACAAAGTCCAAATGGCTGATCGGCAGATATGGTAAAACCCATGCATTATTTCATGCTGTAAAAATGGGCGAGCCATTCATTAATGTTGATGTCATTGAATGTCTATTTGCCCAAAAAGCCCATCTGAGCCGATACTTTATTCAGCGATTGATGCTTGGATTTGGCAAGCATGACAGCAGGCTTATTGACCTCAAATTGACACACAACATAAGACCGCTCGATCCGGAACAGAAAAAATCCATTCAAAACAAAATCCGTAGCCCGTGGGCGAGCGATCTTTCCTTTGATGTCTTCTTCCGCATTCTCAATGAGGGACATGACCGATTTGACGGAAACGACATTCCGCTGCGCGGAAATGACATGGAATCATTTTATTATCTTTCGGCTGGTCCATTGTGCATTAATCAAGCGAGAAAAAAATTGAGGGAAAATGAAAAGGAAATTGAAATTTTGATTCAGAGATACAAATTTGCCCCATTTCCTCCTAGGCCAAACATAGGGAACCCAGAGTCACATCCCGTAAACTCCGATGATTATCCGCCTACTGATGGCTACGAGAATGTTCGCCAACTAAATGACATTGCGCGAGCCATTCTTTTACATCCCAAATTAGTTAATTTCTGGAAAGAAAGCGGATATTATGAAATAGTCGATGATATGAACGATTTGGTAATGGGAAGCGTCTTATCAAATTTTAATTCAACTTTAGGCCATTTTATTAGGGAACTAAAAACTCTGCAATCGGTTGGATTTAGACCGACAAATGAGATGATGGGAGATGCTTTGATATTTTTTGAACATCGTTTAAAAGATATAGAAGTACTGATAGATGCGTTTGTCATTGGTCGTGGTCTGAATAGGAACACTATACTTTCTATATGCTTAAGAGAATTGTTGAACCCAGACAGAAATCTTGAACAGTATAATTTACTTGAATTTATCCTCAATCGGATTGATAACCCTGAAGAGATCGCGTACAGGACCCTGCAAAGCTACAATATCGGAAATTCCGTGAATATTCATCCAAGTAGGAGTGGTTCTATTCCTCAGGCTTATACAGTACTCAAATATGGCCCCATCGTTTATTATTACATGCTAGCAAAGTTTGGTGTCGACTCACGCATTGCTACATATCTGATGAGCGAGATTACAGCTGCTCGCATATGGAAAACCAAACTTCATGAATCCAATAGGTCTCTCGTCTTGTCTTCCGCTTCAATCGATACCCTATGGCAAGAATTAAATACGGTCTTTAATGTATATTATAAATCAGGTGTTCATTTCGAACCGCGACTTTTATCCTTGTTCCAAACATGTCCGGAGGAAGCAGTCATCACATGTCTATTTGAGGGATACTTGGCGAAATTGTTTGGATACAAAGTCGAATTTCAGCCATCACAAGTAGACGAAATTCTGCCATTGCAAGTTACCCCATTTACACATGGTAAACGCAGAGCAAGCGATGAAGCGAGGATGGAATGGTGGCATGCGATTCGTTATTGTAATCTGAACGACGAGATGATGGTCATATTTAGACGTCAACACAAAAGATTCCTCCAACGTGTATGTGGAACTGTTGGCACATCCGTCAGCGTCATCAAAACGGCGTCGACTTGGGTAAAATTTAAGTGACGGTCATAGTTTATGTAGTTTATGTTAGTTTTTTTTTTTTCCTGACAATAAACATCCATGCTTTTCAAGACCGTGTAACTGTTAGTGTCTTCAAGTAATGCATTTTATTCAGTTAGCAGCAGAAACCTAATTATTAAGTTCACGCACGCGAAAGAGCTTCGATGCCTAACAGACGAGCATACGTACCTATGGTGTGTTGCTCACTTCTTTTCTTCTTATTCCTTTTCTTGCCTCATCACTTCCCGTCATTCTCACACATCACTACATCGTGTGTTGCCCACTTCAAGATAAGTCTCTACTATTCTTTTTCTACTTTTTTCTTGCCTCATCACTTCCCGTCCTTCTCATATCATTTTCATTAGAGATATACTCCCAACGTTGTTCCTCCTACACATCATTCAGCTTACAATTGCCCGGTCCAATGTACATGGCCTGGAAGTCGTCAGTCAATATTGAATATTACTTGTTAGATAATTAATATACGTATGACCGTTCTTACGGTGAACAGATCCCTTTCTTTATACTGACTCGTTGCCTACAGAATCTGTCAGCTTGTTAACGTCACCAGTCATCTTCAGAGCATGATTCAATACAGTTATACAAGAAATCAACATGGCACTCATCGCCTTACTCGATAAACTCGGACTATATCTACCGCGCTTTACTTTATTTCCGTGGACAAGCCGTTGCTCATATGTACTATATTCATGAGAGTAGCGTTTTCTTCAATTTCAACTGATGACATCGAAAGCGTATCTTGCCCCAATCCCTTCTCAACAATTCAGCCCCGCCTTTGCAAATCCAAGTACAAAGTAAAGATAAGACACTCCTGTCCGCAACGTCGATTGCTAGTACGGCCCAGAATTACTTCTGCATCGAGTTGTAGGCATATCATTGGTACTCACAGTACGTTAGGTCTTCGACTACTACCGTTGTGAATCTTTTGTCCAGTCATTCGATTCTAGACTTCTGGGTCTCTGTTGTTCTGGCCCAATTTTATGGCGTCGCATAGGGAATGGAAATCTTTCCGTCTTTGGCGATCAGCTGAAAGAATTTGGTTCGAGTGTTGCTGGCGAGAAATCGATATCGACATCAGTAAAAGTTGACACAGGATCTCCACTTAGCCAGTCAAAGTGACAAGGTCCTCATGAAACTCGATATCGGACTTCTCGAAAAGGTAGCCTTCATTATATCGAGTTTCGTGTGTACTGTATGTCTCACGTTAGCGCCATTCTTGTGCAAATGGTAATTACTATTTGATAAGAAATAGACAGGACTCTTCGAAGAATGGTAGACGTATGTGCTTTAATTCACGATATTAAGTATTACGGGCTGAGTTCTATCTAAATTCGAACATTTAGTCATCGCTATAACACTAAAGGTTATTCAATTGGTCTGTAAGCTATATGTTGTTTGTGATTGACTAATCATTCTTACAATGTATCGGTAATTGTAAGGACCACATGAGATAGAAATAGCAAAAGAGCGCGACATGGAGGGTATAGAAAATGGTTTCAACTTTTCTTTAAGTTCCTACTGTTTACATATTCTTACAACATTATTATTCCTAATAGAAGCGTTGTTTAGTAGACGCTTGGTTCATTAATTTATCGTGCTATTTATTTCGTTGTCCTATTTACTCGATTTTAATTAGGGCTAATAATAATACTCTGTTCCATAAGCCGATAAAGTCATACTTAACCCCACACGGTTATTTCCTTGGTAACCCCATAGTAAAAACCGAACATCTATAAAAGTTGGAACGCAAAAAAAAAAAGATTAAATAACTGAAGAAAATTTAGATATAAATATAATCATGTATTAAAGCGATGGCTTTGACCATACTGAAAAAAGCGACAGCCTTCAAATTGACCGACAAGCTTGTTGGAAATGCTCTACTATTACTATTATTTGAACACAAGTTAAACTATATAGACGGAGCGCTTATTGAAGCTCTTGCTACTGTTCATAAAAAGCTTAAGGATATTCATCTAAAAAAGCTGTTGCAAAAAGAAATGTTGAGCAATATGTTTTGCTTGACTTTATAATCGGCCGTATGAATAATTCAGACAAAGCTCTACATGCGTTTAAAAAGTATTTGAACAAACAACGGTGTATATGTCAACTAAATTGGTGCCCAGTCCCAGATTCATACCAATACAACTCTATTTAATCAGTTAAAATAAAACAAAGGCTTTATGGATTATGCTAAATCATCTGATCAATTTCATATTATACTCGTATTAATATACTGTATATGTACTGTATCTCTTGCCTCACGAGATCTCAGCCTCAATCTCGGCTTTGGCATACTCCCACCTACTTTTCGCATCGGAACAAAATCAGTCAGCATAATTTTTATTTCAAAAAAATGCTCTTAATTGAAATACAAATAGTCGATAAAAAATAAATGATATAAACGGATTGACAAAACATCTAGTATCAAACGATGAAAATCATAAACTAAAAAGCATGACATTTGACGTTTAAGCATAGGGATATTTAATTTCATTAGTTGACTTATTTGTGAAATCGACAAATCACTACTGGAAGAATCTTTCAAGTTGATGTCTAAATGTTGCCGTCATTTCGTCATTCTGATAACAAGAACAAATCTCATGCAACCATTCTGTTCTTGCTTCATCACTTGCCCTGTGTGTACTATGTGTAAATGGGGTGACTTGCAATGGCGGAATCTCGTCTACCCGTGATGGTTGGAATTCAACTCTGAGTTCAAACAGTTTTGCCAAGTATCTCTCAAACAAGCATCTGATGGGAATCTCTTCCGGACACGTTCTGAATAACGGTAAGAATTGCGATTCTATAGGAACACCTTCCATACAATACACGTTGAAGATATTACTTAATTCTTGCCATCCGTTGTCGATTGAAGCGTTGGACAAGGCAAGAGTGCTATTAGATTCGTGAAGTTTGGCTTTCCCTATACGCGCAGTCGTAATTTCGCCCATCAAATATCTGCTGACAGATGAGTCGGCGCCAAATTTTACTAGCATGAATTCGTAGACAATAGGGGCATATTTGAGTTGCGTAAGAGCCAGAGGAATAAAGCCGTTCCCATTTAGATAAATGTTCACGGGATTTACGATATTGTAGCTACGCAGGGCCCTATACGTAGTTTCTTCGGGGTTATCAACTTGATCGAGTATATAATCAAGTAAATCATGCCGCTCGAGATTTCTGTCCGGATTCAACAGTTCTCTTAAACATATAGAAAGTATATCGTTCCTAGTCATACCGCGAACAATGGCAAACGCATCTATCAGTGCTCTTCCCATATCTTTTATATGACTTTCAAATAATAATAGAGCGTCCCCCATCATCCCATCTGTCAGTCTGAACCCAACAGAATGCAGATCCGTTAGTCGCTGAGTGAATTGGTCTAGATTTGGATTGAAATCTGCCAAGACGCTTTTTATGACAATATCGTTTATATCATCCACTATCTCATGACACCCGTTTTGCTTCCAGACATTAACCAATTCGGGACACAAAAGTATGGCT